TCTTTATCATTTTAATGTTTGTAGGATATATAGTGTTATCTCATACTAAGTTCCTGGTTAATGTCCTAGTGGTGGTGAATACAGTTATCTCTGGCTTTTAACAATATTACAGTGTGTTAAGGTCACTTCTGAGTATTGGAGAGCTTTGAATAATGTGGTAGATGCAAAAAATGTGTATTAATTCCAGGGAATCCTGGTAGGGTATTTTTTTTCTTTATTGATTTTGAGAGAGAGGAACGAGAGGTGGCGAGAGAGAGGAATGAGAGGTAGAGAGACAGAAACATCAATGAGAGAGAACATCCATTGGTCACCTCCAGCATGCCCCCTGACTGGGGATTTGGCCCACAACTTGGGCATGTGCCCTGACCGGGAATTGAACCAGCAACCTCTTGGTGTATGGGTCGAGACTCCACCACTGAGCCACACCAGCCAGGCGTGGTTGGGTTTTAACACTAAAAACAGTTGAGTCTCTTATGTCCTCTATCACACATATACCAAGTCCAGCTGGTAAATAAAATAATTAAGTGCAGTGTCAGTGTCAATTAAACCCTTAGATGTCAGATCTAGCTGATTAAAACTCTACTGAATTGAATGGATTGTAGGTTGTTAAATATGGAAAATACCCTTTGGCCATTTGAGATTAACCCCAAGAAGCACCACTTGCCCCTTGGCGCCACTGCTAGATGATTTAGCTGCTCTAACATGGGCCTTACCCACCTGGCCAGTTCTCATTGTGCTGAGCTCTGCCTGGAAGCCCGGAGCTATGCCTCAGAGACAAGGGCTCTTCCCTTCAGTGTTCCTCGCCTGCCTGATACTGTATTTGCCACCCTCTAGGAGCTGGGATGCCAGAATTTGGTAGTTCCAGCTTATTGCTTGCTTGTTGAGTGTTTTAAGATTTTAAATACTGAAACAGTAGTTTTCTGAAAAGTTTGGAAGGAAGAAATAATTCAAGGAGATAAAGCATTGGACTGAACAGATTGGAGCTGAGAATGAATCAGCTGCCAAAACCCAGTTGCAAAATCCAGAGTCTCTTTAGCCAAATCTTCACGTCTTTAATATTGTCTTACTTTATAATTTGTTCCTATTTTGCTTTATTAATACTTGGTCACCCCTGAATTGCCATGGTGGTTGCATTGTGAGGCAGCTCTTTTTGGAGGGGGAGGACAGGTTTGCAATATCTGCAGGTTTGATGATGCTTATCCTCAAGTTATGGCTAATTTTTTTTAAAATATGTTTTTTTGTTTTTTTTTTTTTTTTTTATCCTCACCCGAGGACATTTTTCCATTTTTTGTACAGATAGAGTGGGAGGGAGAGAGAGGAAGGGAGAGAGAGAAACATCGACGTGAAGGGACACATCGAGTGGCTGCCACCCGCACGACCAACCAGGGCCGGGGACAAACTGCAACCGAGGTACGTGCCCTTAGCGGGAACCGAACCCGGGTCTCTCTGGACCGCAGGCCGACGCTCTAACCGCTGAGCCAAACCGGCCAGGGCTAAAATATGTTTTTAGCCCTGGCCTGCTGGGCTCTGTGGTTAGTGTTGGCCTGTGGACTAAAGGGTCATGGGTTCGATTCCCGGTCAAGGGCATGTACCTGGGTTGTATGTTTAATACCTGACCCAGTTGGGGTTGTGTGGGAGGCAATTGATGTCTCTCTCTCTCTCTTTTTTTTTTGTACGTGCCCTTAGCGGGAACCGAACCCAGGTCTCTCCGGACCGCAGGCCGACGCTCTAACCACTGAGCAACCGGCCAGTGCTGTTTTTATTGATTTTATAGAGAGGAAGAGACAGAGAGAGAAAGACAGACAGACATCGATGTGAGAAAGAAACAGATCGGTTGCCTCCCGTATGCACCCCTAATGGGGACCATATCTGCAACCACTGGATATGTGTCCTGACTGAGAATCGACCAGCGACCTTCCAGTGCACAGGGCAACACTCATCCAGCTGGGCCGCACAAGCCAGGGTTGTGGTGAATGTTTTAACCTTTGAGTGGAAAGGAGACCATTTCTCCTCTTTTGAAAAAAAAAATCTGTTCTTGCCCTGGCCGGTGTGGCTCAGTTGGTTGGAGTGTCGTCCTGTACACCAAAAGGTTGTGGGTTGAATCCCCAGTCAGGGCTTGTACAGGTGGCAACTAATTGATATTTCTCTCTACATTGACGTTTGGTTTCTCTCTCTCTCTCTCTCCACCCCTCTCTATAAATAAATAAATAAATAAATAAATAAATAAATAAATAAATAAATAAATAAACAGATTTACCTACTTTTTAAAAATCTATTCTTAAATAAGGTTTGAACCCTCCTTTACCAGATGTCCGTAGTGTTTTCCAGACCTCAGTGGACTGGGTGAGGCCTGGTTCCCGCCCTTGGTTCCGTGGGTGTGGTGGAGAATGTGGTCAGACTTGCCTCGTTTGTCTCTTAGTCACACTATCACCTTCTAGCAGTTTTTGTAGACAAGTGAAAACATTCTGGAAGGCCTGTTTTTAACAGCAGGGGGTCTCTAGTTCAGGACATACAGCAGCTGGTTTTCCTCTGGACCAGCCATTCAGCCTGGAGAGGGGACCTCAGGCCACATCCTGGGATGTTCGAAGTTTTATAAAAATTGATCTGGAATATCTGCATTAGGACTAGTGAGTAACGCATTCCTTCTGGGCCTGAGGTTTCTCTGTGTCGTAGGCACACCTGGGGAAAAGGTCCAGGCAGACCTCAGCTCTTATGCAGGGGGTTTGCCACGTGTGTTTGGAGCACCTTCTGTTGGTTCAGCGGTAGACTTGGGAGGTCTGCATGTGGATTCTGAGGAATCCCACCCTTCATGGAGAGAGGTATTTCTTGTTCCTTTGTCCTTTCAGAATTATCTTGGCCTTCAAAATAGGTTTGCAGAATAAAAGTGTAAGTAGCAAAATATGTTTAAAGCTTCCTTTTTGGAGACATTTGCCCGGCCCAGAGATTAGTGAATCATTGCACAGCTGACTGTGTCCTCCCTTCTGCATGGGCTTTTCCTTCACTGTGGTTTCAGACTTTTGTGAGATTCCCAGTGGAACGTAGAATGTTGTGGAAGCAGTGGGAGTTTGGCTTTGTTCAGCACCTTGATGCAGAGGTGTCCTCATTCAAAGGGAGAGAAGGTGATCCATGGCAGTAAAGAGGTTTAGCAGTGTTTTCATTTTCTTATTTGAGACTCCCTGCACGAAAGGAGACAGATCCTGTATGTCTGGTAGAAGGAAGTTCACCCTTTTCTTACACCCATTGCCCCAACCGCTGCACCCCACCCATCTTTAAAAGGGTGTTGGTGGCATATTTGCTGGATTGCATGGTATCAGAACTGGAGCAGGAGTTCATCCTGCCTGCGAGGATGTGGCTCTGCTCTGTGTGTGTGGTTGGTGCCAAGTCTATTCACAAATCTTATTCCAGTTAAATTATTATATGGCTGCCCCATTCCACAGGATTTTTACTTTGAAAATTGGCCAGCAAGTTTGATTAAGTGATTATAAAGAATCTTGTAACTTGAGGTGCATAACAGTGTTTTGTATGAAGTATGTTTCTCCAGAGCTGCACTGTTCAGTACAGTGGCCACTTGAACACACATGGCTAAGTTTAAATTAATTACAATTTCAAGTGCTCAGTAGCTTACACCCGTTGTATTGGATAGCTCAGGTACAGAGCATTCGCATCGCCACCGAAAGTTCCATTGCACAGTGCTGCCCTGGATTTCAGGGAGTGATGGTGGCCATGTTTGCTTTTGTAGGTTTGTGTCCTTGATTTGTTCCTAAGTTGAGGAACAACAGGAGAGTCAAGTGACTTATAAATAGAAAGTATGTTTGAGTTATATTGGGTAATTCACAAGGATGTTTGTTTTGTTCTTTTCACACTGAAAACTAGGTAAAATGTAAGAGTTCTTAAGAGAAGAAAATATTTTTCTTTAAACCCCCACCAACCATCTCCTAAAGGAGTGGGCAGTACTGGGGTTTCTTTTGGGCTCTCCTTGAGGTCATATTGGGTGTCAGTTTCTGTGGAAAGTCAAATATAGTAATGGAATGTTGATGTTTTCATGTCAAAGTGGGTATTCCAGTAACACAAGTTCACCTCTCTGCCTTTCCTCCATTCCCACCTGCTCAGTCAGATTCTGTAGAACAATAATGCGGTATGTCAGGTATTCCTTCAGTTAATGAACCACCTTTCCCTTTTCCCACTGGCCAGCAGAGGGGTGACACCCTGTACTTGAGTAAAGGCTGTCATTGAGTGTTTATCAATCTTGTCTGCCCTAAAAATGTTCTCAGCAAAGCCATGCGTGATATCTGAGTGCAGAATTTCGGTGGTAAAGAGAACCTTGTATGATATGGAAGAGAAATGTATTTGTGATTGGCATTGATGAGTGACGTTACTCACTTGCTCGGACCTAAAAGCAGCCTGTGCCAGCAAGTCTGTTGGGTGACGTTTGTAGGGGTACTTTGGGTGTGCCCAGCTCTGGCCTGTAAGGCCCCTCCAGGGATGCAGGTGCAGGCCCTGAGCAGAGGGGGAGGCACTGGAGGAAAGGAGCAGGAAGCTCTGTGATGGGAACAGTTTGAAGCATCTGTTGCCTGACAGTTTCAGGTGGTTATACAGATACTTTTCAGTACATTTACTTTATTTATATATAAAATTCCCATTTCCATGTAAATAAGGAATATGACTCTAAGAAAAATCTTACATGTTGCAGAATAGTAACAATTGAAATGCTGTCTGCTTTGGGGCACTTTTAATAAGGGAGAAGGAAAAGAGAGAAAGACTTCAATTGGTTGCTTCCCACATGCACACTGACAGCCAGGGTTGCCCTTGATTAGGAATTGAACCTGAGATCCTTCGATCCAAGTGCTGACGCTCTAACTACTGAGCCACGCAGGCTAGGGCAACTTGGGGCACTTTTTGTTGGGTGTGTAATGGGGGAATCAGCACTGTTATGCCCCCTCCCAGCAGAATATTATGGCTTACTCAAGGGACAATCTTCACTGCATTCTGACCTTGTTTAGGCTGAAAGTGAAGAAACCAAGGAGCGTTTGTTTGAATCCATGCTCAGCGAGTGTCGGGACGCCATCCAGGCCGTTCGGGAAGAGCTCAAGCCGGATCAGGTAGGCCCATCAGCTGCGCCGGCAGCTCTTGCTCTGGGCTGAGGTCCTCAGTCTGGGTGTCTCATTCCCTGGTGGGGTCCGGGTGGTTTGAGTGCATTGACTCTTAGCCACTATTGTTTGTTTGTTTATCCTCACTGGGGGACATTTTTGCCTTTATCTTCAGATAGAGCTGGAGGGAGAGAGGGAGGAAGAGAGAGAGAGAGAGAAACATCCATGTGAGAGAGACACATCGATTGGCTGCCACCCACACAACCCCAGCTGGGGCTGGGGACAAACTGCAACTGAGGTTACGTGGCCTTAGCGGGAACCAAACCCAAGACTCATTGGTCCGCAGGCCGACACTCTAACCACTGAGCCACACCAGCCAGGGCCATTTTTGTTATTTCTAATGGGTGCCCAGTGATTCCTCTCAGTCTAGAGCAGTGGTCTCCAAACAGCTGTGATAATGCCCTCCCATAAGTAAAATTGAGCATTTACCTCTTGTGTGTTTATTTGTAACTTATATACCTTATTATTCAGCTGATTTTTTTTTCTGTATTGATTTTAGAGAGAGAGGAAAGGAGAGGGGGAGAGAGAGAGAAAAACATCGATGAGAGAGAACATCGATTGGCCGCCATCTGCATGCCCCCCACTGGGGATCTGGCCCACAACCTGGGCATGTGCCCTGACCAGGAATTGAACTGGCGAACTCTTGGTGCATGAGTTAATGATCAACCATTGAGCCATACTGGCCGGGCCTCAACTGATTATTAATATATAAAATGCATTAAAACAAAGTTTTTAGCCCTGGCCGGTTTGGCTCAGCGGTTGGAGCGTCGGCCTGCGGTACAGAGAGACCCGGGTTCGGTTCCCGCTAAGGGCATGTACCTCGGTTGCAGTTTGTCCCCGGCCCTGGTTGGTCGTGCGGGTGGCAGCCCCTCGATGCGTCCCTTCACATCGATGTTTCTCTCGCTCTCTCTTCCTCTCTCTCCCTCCCACTCTATCTGAACAAAAAATGGAAAAATGTCCTCGGGTGAGGATAAAAAAAAAAAAAAAAGTTTTTAAAATGAAATAAACATAAATAGAAGTTCTAGTTTTCTCCTTACACCATGCTCTTTGGGTTGTATGCACCGCACTTTAGACCACTCCCCGAGCTGGGGTGTGAGCCATCCCTGCTGGTGTTTCCAGCCCTGTGCCTTGCTGCTTCCCTCTGAGTTCTCTGCCTCACCCTGTGTTCACTGTCTTCACATGCCTGTCCCACCTCGTGCATTCCTTACACGCTTCTCCTTTCCCTCCTCACACCTGGCGTATTCTTCCTCTCCCTTCTCAGAATCCAAACCACACCTGTTTTGCAACGTCCAGATCATAGCTCACCATCTCTGAGAAGCCTGCCTACACCATCCTAGCCCATAAAGATCTCTCCGTTTTTAAAAATATCTCATACTTACAGCCAAATTTTTTGTTTGATAGTTAATCAAGAATTGCCTTTTAACATTTTGTGTATTGTTTTATATTTACCTTTTTTGTTTAATTTTTCTCAAGATTGTAAGCATCTTTTTTTTTATCCTCATCTGAGGACATTTTTGCATTTATCTATCTTCAGATAGAGAGGGAAGGAGAGAGCAGGGGAGAGAGAGAGAGAGAAACATTGATGTGAGAGAGACACATCGACTGGCTGCCACCCACATGACCCCAACCGGGGCCAGGGACAAACTACAACCAAGGTACGTGCCCTTAGTGGGAACCGAACCTGGGACTCTCTGGTCCGCAGGCCGACACTCTAACTGCTGAGCCGAACCAGCCAGGGCAAGATTGTAAGCATCTTAAAAGCAACAATATATTTTCTTCAGAATCTGCCACAGTACATTGGGTGTGAAATGTTCAATGACTATTTGTTAGGCTGTAGTCAACTGTCTCCCTTTCCCATTAAGCTGCCTTTGTATGTTACACTTCCTTTCATCCACTTAATCGGTACATACAGAACCCTAGCCTCCATCTTTCACCTTGAATTCACAGCAGTTGAGGGACACCTCACAGGAGGTGATGGATGTGCTGATACCAAGGTGTATTAGTGCCCTATTGCTTCTGTAACATTACCACATATTGGCTTCAAATAACAATAATGTATTATCTTAACAGTTCTGGAGGTTAGAAGTCTCACTGGGTTCTCAAGGCTGCATTCCTTTTGGAAGCGCGAGGAAAACTAGGGGAGAATTCATTTCTAGTATTTCAGAGAATGCATTGTCCGGCTTCTAGCAGCGACCCACCTGCCTTGGCTCATGGTTCCTTTCTCCATCTTCAAAGCAAGCAGCATAGCTTCTCCTCTCTGACCTCTGCCTACCTAGTCTCTGACTGTATCACCGACCCTTCTGCCTCCCGCTTATAAGGAGCCTGTGATTGCATTGGACCCTCCTGTATATTCTAGGCTAATCAAAAGATCCTTACTGTTGTCTGCTCGGTGTGGCTCAGTGGGATCATCAACCCCTGCACCAAGAGATCTCTGGTTCAATTCCTGGTCAGAGCACATGCCCAGGTTGTGGGCCCGATCCCCAGTAGGGGGCATGCAGGAGGCAGCCAGTCCGTGTCTCTCTCATCAGTGTTTCTATCTCTCTCTCCCTCTCCCTTCCTCTCTCACTAAAATCAATAAAGGGAAAAAAAATTTTTTTAATTGAAAAAAAAAAAAGATCCTTAACATCTACACACCTTCTAGGTCTCTTCTACCATGTAAGAGAACAGCTTCACAGGTTCCGGAGTTGGGGTGTGGACATCTTCAGGGCGTTATCATTCAGATAACCAACCACAAAAGGCAGGCGGTGACAGCACAAGGGGTCCAGTTTGGGTCTGAGGCCCAGACCCTCACTGGAACCATGAACTACGGAATATCTGCTATTAGTGCTGCGGTCTGGCCACTGGGAGCTGCAGACAGGAAGCCTTGCGAGGCATTACTCTGAATTTTCTTGTCTCCCTCAAGTCCAGCTGGCAGATGCCAGTGGCAGCTGAGTGGCCCTGTCATCTAGAACATGTCCAGTAGATCTTTGATGTTTGACGACCCCTTCCGGGGCACTTTGGGGACCACATCATTGAATGAGATGGTCTGAGCCAAGGATAAGACTGTTTTATCTTCTTTTTTTTTTTTCACTTTCTGCAGAAACAGAGAGATTATACCCTTGATGGGGAGTTGGGGAAGGTATCTAATCTTCAATACCTGCACAGGTAAGGATTATGATTTTTTTACTTTTTAAGAATTGTGAAGTACATCATTGGAACAAGGGAGTATACATAATCTGTGTGTTTTAATGTATAATTTCATGTATAATACTAAGGTATCTATGCACATTTTATCACATAAGAGTATATATACTGCATCTGGGAATTCTAATCTATGTATCATTTAATTTTTGTGGGTTTTTTTAATCCTTACCCGAGGATATTTTTTCATTGGTTTTTTTTTTTTTTCTTTATTGATTTTAGAGAGAGGAAGGGAGAGGGAGAGAGAGATAAAAACATCAACTAGAGTGAACATTGATTTCTGCACAGGATCAGGGATTGAACTTGCAACCCAGGAATCAAACCCATGACTCTTTAGTCCACAGGCTGACACTCTAACCTCTGAGCCAAATTGGCCAGGGCCCCTCTGGCAGATCTTAACTGCTTTTGCCCCTTTTATTTTTCATATACATTTCCACATCACCTTGTCAAATTTAGTTATTTTTAAAAATGGTACATCATTTGTTGCACAGAAGAAAGGAGGGAGGAGGAATGACATTTTTGGAACTTCCTGGGAAGAAATAAAATTAATTGGGAAAACTCCATTTTTCACCAGATTCTGTTCTCCATGTGACAAAAAAAATTTGCCCTGGCTGGTGTGGTTCAGTGGTTAGATCATCGGCCCTTAGACCAAAGGGTTGCGGTTTGATTCCCATCAAGGTCACATACCTGGGTTGCAGGTTCAGTCCCCAGCCCCAGTCAGGGCTCGTGCGGGAGGCAACCAGTTGATGTGTTCTCCCACATCAGTGTTTCTCTCTTTCTCTCTCTCTCCCCCTCCCGCCCTTCCACTCTCTCTAAAAAAAATCCATGGGATTATTAATAATAGTTTTCTGCTTCCTGAAAAGTCTGGTTCTTTTAAGTTACTTTTTACCCTTTTCAGTTTTGAACTTTTCTGTCTTGTTAGAGGTTTAAATGTTCGATTCATCCACTCCTGTAAAGCCTGGGGCTTGTCTGGCCACAGCGCTGCACTCATGCATGGGGCTCGTCGGCTTTGGGCTTCACTGTCGGCACTCTGGCTCTGCCCTTCCACCGTGGACCCTCACTCTAGAATCTTGCAAGGGTTTTCTCTTGGGCTGGTCAGAACCCCAGAATATACTAGGCTGCTGCTGTTCTGGAAGCTGGTAGGAAAAGAAGGCTAGGAGGTCGGTCAGCACTCAGACCTTGACAGTCCTTTATTCCCCTGGTTCATTGTGGAGCCCTTGACCTCAGCCTTGTCTGTACCCTCGCCCTAGGGCTCTTCTGTATCCTTTCCCCGGGATGCCTCCAGTCTTCTGCCAGAGGAGGACGGGGACCTCAAGGCCTAAACACTTCTTAACAGACTTAAATGGTTATTCTGTTTTTATCCTCAGATATTAAAGAGACTTGCTGGTGGTACAGTTAAAATGAGCAGGCACCATGCATAGCCTCTGGTATATACACATATTTAATATGCACAACTCTCCAAAGAGACTGTCCCTCACTCCTTTCTGAGAAGAGAAGGTCATCAGATGAGAGGGGCAGCTGTCATGTGAGCATGTCATCTTTTATAGTGTGAGCGGGGGCCGGGCCATGTGTATAGTATGAGCGGGGGCCCTGGGCCATGTGTATAGTGTGAGCGGGGCCTGCCATGTGTATAGTGTGAGCGGGACCCCGGCCATGTGTATAGTGTGAGCGGGGCCCGGGCCATGTGTATAGTGTGAGCGGTGGGCCGGGCCATGTGTATAGTGTGAACGGGGGCCCCGGGCCATGTGTATAGTGTGAACGGGGGCCCCGGGCCATGTGTATAGTGTGAGCGGGGCCCCGGGCCATGTGTATAGTGTGAGCGGGGCCCCGGGCCATGTGTATGGTGTGAGCGGGGCCCCGGGCCATGTGTATGGTGTGAGCGGGGCCCCGGGCCATGTGTATGGTGTGAGCGGGGCCCCGGGCCATGTGTATGGTGTGAGCGGGGCCCCGGGCCATGTGTATGGTGTGAGTGGGGCCCCGGGCCATGAGTATGGTGTGAGTGGGGCCAGGCTGTGAATAGCCCTTGTTCTAGGAAGGAGCTTGCTCTCCGTGGATCATTTTAAGGACTGTCTCTGGGATTAGTAGCTCTGTGCTTCTTTAAAAAAAAAAAAAAAGAAAGAAAAAGAAAAAGAAACAAGCTATAATTCAGGTTAAAAACAAATTTTGTCATAAGGTCTCATACTGGTCCCCTGCAAATTTGCCACTGAACAGCCACCAGAATTGAGGACCCCTTGAGCTTGAGAGCCAGGCTAAATGGCTCTGCTGCATGACAGGCCCTCACCCCACACTTCTCCTAAGTCAGTCCCAGCTTGTGGTCCTGTGCTCTTCTCAGAATGTCAGCTTCCTGAGCATAACCTGAGCTGACATGTGCTATATTCCAGCTACCTGACTTACATCAAGTTGTCGACAGCAATCAAGCGTAACGAGAACATGGCTAAAGGTCTGCAGAAGGCCCTGCTGCAGCCTCAGCCAGAAGATGACAGCAAGCGCTCCCCCAGGCCACAGGACCTGATCCGGCTCTACGACATCATTCTGCAGGTGACCTTGAGGACTGGGAAAGCAAGGGCCTGGCCTTTTTGTGTGTTGGACACCAAGTAACTTCGTTTATGTAGCAAGAGGGTGGTGATAACCAGCAGCTGCTAGTGTTTTGGTAAAAGACAGAGGTCTTGTCCTTGTACTGCTTTAGTAGTCTGTGACCCAAATATTTATTTATTTTATTTATATTTTTAAAATTTTGTTTTAGAGAGGAAGGGGGGGAGGGAGGGGGGGGGAGAGGAAGGAGGAATATCAGTGTGAGAGAGAAACACGTGCCCCGAACAGGGATCAAACCCACAGCCTGGCTATGTGCACTAACCAGGAATCAAACTCACCACTTTTTGGTGCATGGGACGACTCTCCAACTAACTGAACCACTTGGTCAGGGCTGTGACCCCCAACATTTAGATGTGTTGATGTTCAGAGACAAGTGAGCCCACAGGTTTCCCTGAGCACTTTGCCTGCCTGTGATACTTCCCCACGTGCCGTGGCGCATCCTGAGGCCTTGGCCACACTTTGCCGCCTGCTGGGAGCTTGCCAGTGCGCAGGATTGTGAGACACATTCACACACAGGCAGCTGCACAGACACCAGACAAACAGGCCGCTCTGCAATGGAAGTGCAGACCTGGTGTGGTCCCCACCAGCTGAGCTGCTCTGGAAGTGTCTGGAGGGTAAGGTGTGAGCTGAGTCAGAAGGGAGAAGTTGGCTTTCAGTGTCAGAGATGATGGAGATGGCACGGGTGTGGCTGCTGCCGAGACACTGGCCTCGGACTTGACCCTCGTCTCCCCCTCGTCGTTCTGCTCTCACTCAACCTGGGGTCTCTCCATGAGCTTTCTTGTTGCATGTTGTGCAGAACCTGGTGGAGCTGCTCCAGCTCCCTGGCTTGGAGGAGGACAAGGCCTTCCAGAAAGAGATAGGCATCAGGACTCTGGTGTACAAGGCTTACAGGTAAGGACGGGCTCCCCTCTCCTGGAAGATTGGGTCACTGGCTCTGTGGTTACCTTGCCTGTGGTGAGAACAGTCAGCCCAACGTGTTCAAGGGGAGTCTCAGGTTGTGGCTGGTCGTTTCCAGTGTCCCCTGTCTGCCTTGGATAGGTTGGGGGAGCCGGAGATCACACACATTAAATGTCTTCACCCTCCTCTTCTCTCCTTCCTCCCCGTGGAAAAGGGACAGTGTTGAAAAGGTGTCCATCAGCAGAACCAGAGAGCCTGAGCTGAGGCTGAGAGAAAGCGAAACTTCCTGGTCTTTTGAAATGACTCGTGTTATTTTAACTTGGATGTGGGCTGTGTAACGAGAGGGGCGTCTGGACAAAATGGCAAGCGGGAGCCCTTCTTTTTCTGGCCCTTACACCCCACCACTCTGACTCCCCAGGGTGCCCCTTCTTGGCTCATGTTGCCCCTCCTCCCGGCCCCGTGGACCCTTCTGTCCTGTCGGGCCAGCAGCCCTCAGGCTCTGTCGATCCCAGTGGACTGGTTTCCATTTGAAAGAGAATTTTAGATTTGGTTTTTGAAAAATGGAACTGCCACTTGACCCAGTGATCCCGCTTCTAGGAATATACCCTAAGAAGTCTGAAACACCAATCAGAAAGAATATATATACCCTTATGTTCATAGCACTATTTACAATTTTGTTGTTGTTAATCCTCGCCCAAGGATATTTTTGCATATATCTTCAGACAGAGTGGGAGGGGGAGAGAGAGAGAAACATCGATGTGAGAGAGACACATCTATTGGTTGCCACCCACATGACCCCAACCGGGGTCGGAGACGAACCACAACCGAGGTACATGCCCTTGGCCAGAATCAAACCCAGGACTCCCTGGTCTGCAGGCCGACGCTCTAACTGCTGAACCAAACTGGCCAGGGCACTATTTACAATTGCTAAGATCTGGAAACAGCCCAGTGTTCATCAGTAGATGAGTGGATAAAAAAGCTGTGGTACATGTACACAATGGAATACTATGCAGCTGTAAGAAAGATCTCTTTATCCTTTGAGACGACATGGAGGGACCTGGAGAGTATTATCCTAAGCAAAACAAGCCAATCAGAGAAAGACAAATACCACATGATCTCACTTACTTGTGGAATACAAAACAATCTGATGAACAAAATAGACCCAGAGACATAGTAGTAAGGTACAGACTGACAAAACTCAGAAGAGGGGGTTGGGGGGAGGGAAGAAATAAACCACAGAACTTATATGCATGTATACGTAACCATGGATATAGACAACAATGCTGGGGCGGGGAAGGAGGCAGGAGAGGGAGGAGGAGGAGGGTGTCAGTAGGGGGGAAAAAGAGAAACATCTGTAACAAAAATAAATTAATAAATAGAAAAGAAAAAGAGATGAGCACAGATAAACGATTGTGACCCGGATGTGTGGGTGGTATTTATATTGGACCTTCAGTGTCACCTTCGAATGTGGGGACGAGCGCAGGTCAGCCTGGGAAACCTGGACATCGAGAACGTTGGGGTCTCGTAGGCAGTGATCTTGAGGTTGAGAAACCTGTTTCTAAATTTAAAATTTAGCCCTGGCCGAGTAGCTCAGTTGGTCAGAGCATCGTCCCAATATGTGCGGTTCTGAGTTCGATATCCGTCAGTGCACCTAAAAGAATCAGCCAGTGAACGCATAAGTGGAAGAACAGTGGGTGTCTCTCTCCCTTCCTCTCTCTCCACCCCTCAAAAATCGATTTAAAAAATTTTTTTTAATTTTGCCTAAACTTCAAGAAAAGCTTTACTCTTGGGAAATTGTTGCTCTAGAATGCTGTAGCTCTTTTTCCTTCCCCGCAGGTGTTTTTTTATTGCTCAGTCCTATGTGTTGGTGAAGAAGTGGAGCGAAGCCCTTGTCCTGTATGACAGGGTCCTGAAATATGCCAATGAAGTGAATTCTGATGCCGGGGCCTTCAGGAGCAGCCTGAAGGTGAGTCACTGGTCTGTCCTCCTTGCGAGGCTGGGGAAGTTGGGCGGTGTGCCTCTGCAGGGGCTGCCACTCCTCGGGCTGGTCCTGCCTGCTCCCATGGGACGCGGTGTCCCTGAGTGCCAGGAGCTGCGGGCTGGTCTCTCACGGCAGCGTTCCAGGCCTGAGGAGGACTCAGGTTCTAAGAAAGAGCCATTCCTCTGGACGAGGTAACATGAAGTATGATTCTCAGACTCAGCTACATGTTAAAACCACCCAGGAAGATTTTTTAAAATGGATATTTGGATTCACATCCCTCTGGTCCCAACACACTATAGTATTTATCTTTATTTACTACCTTTAGGGAAAATAACAAATGATGTCTAGGTTGTACCCCAAGAGATTCTGATTCTGATTGGTGTGGGGTGTGCATTGGGGTTTTTAAAGCCCCTCAGTGATTCTCGTGTGCAGCCAAGTTGAGGACCTTTTCTGGCACAGTCTTCCTGGGCCGCAGCAGCAGCGCTGGGGCTTTGGCTGGAAATGCAGACTCTCAGGCCCCACCCAGAGCTGCTGCGTTGAAATCTGTATTTAAGAGAGACCCGCAGGCGATTCGGGTGTTCGAGTGCACATCAAAGCGTGGGTGCTGTGGTTTATTTTGCTGATTGTGGAGACAGCTAGCTTTGTAAGCTCATGGACTGCTGTGGCAGAGATCCTTAAAGCACCGGCCAGGCCAAGGAATCCATGAGTACCTCCTGAGGGACTTCAGGAAAGTGAGCTGACGTTCGTAGTAATAGCGCTGTTGCCAATGGAGTCTCCAGGTGGTGAGAGAGCTGCCGCTCTCTGACTCTGGCTGTTGGCTCAGAACAGCACGAGGCTGGAGGCTTCAGTGTAAATCTGTTTTCTGCCTTCAGAGAGCTTGTGGTTCTGTTGCAACCACAAGACCTGCATGCAGGAGCCCATCTGTGGCATAAAAGCAGGACGAGGTCCTGGAGCCAAGGCAGGCAGCTAGGTGTGGGCAGACGGAGGGTGACCAGTGTGGCAGCATCGTCACAGCGGGGTGTTGGGACATGGGGCAAACCAGTGCAACAGCTTCTTAGGAGAGAAGAACATTTTGCAAAGAGACATGAGGGATTCGGCAATATCCAGACCTTATCAGATCACTCGATTGCAAAGTAAGAGACGGAAGCAAGAGAATGGTCTCACACTGGAGCCAGACACCTAGGGTGAATCCCAGCTTTGCAGCCCCTGGGGGTGCGACTGGGCACATTATTTGACCTGTCTGTGCTTCAGTCCTCCTATGAAACAGGCACAGCCTTCCATCGCGAAGGTGGAATTAGCAATCATAGAAACTGCTCAGGACAGCGCCTGGCACAGAGTGCATTTCATGTATGATAAATTCATTGATTAATAGTATCATTAGTCTCGTTATTTCCAGGCATCATTGTTTACTATGCCTTATCTTTTCCCATTTGAAACAGGCTAGTGTTTTTTTAATTGGGAGAAGTGTTTAAAAGTCTAAAATCCAATGAAAATACCAGTGGGATCTCCTGACTCAGGTCGGTCTGGCGTGCTCTGGCCACCCTGGCTCATGCGCACGCGGCTTCTGAATCGTTGCAGGACCTGCCCGACGTGCAGGAGCTCATCGCACAAGTGCGGTCAGAGAAGTGCTCGCTGCAGGCGGCGGCCATCCTGGGTGAGCCCCTGTTCTCCAGAGGTCCCTCCTCTGCGCATCCTCCTGTCTCCGCCCCTTTGCTCTCTGAAGATGGGAAGGGGTGGTTTTGGTTAATCTATGAGATTCTTACTTTCCCTGCCATTGCTTCTGCCGCATTAAGGCCTCCAGTTGTGTGGAAGAATTTAGAAAAACGGCCATGCTGCCCCTTCTCCCTGGTCGTATCTTCTGCGCAGCGTGCTGGCTTCACGGGGCCGGGGCGCGGTCTGCGCTTTACCGTCCGAGCTCTGCTCGCCTCCGCAGCAGAGGTTGGGCCCCGGGGCGAGAGGGCTGACTCGGCCGCAGGTTGGCCTCTGCTCTGGGGATTGGCGCCCACAGTGTGATAGGTGTCATTTGTACTCTGGTTTGTTCAGTCTCTGTCCTTACTGATGCCCTATAACACTTTCAGATGCAAGTGACTCCTACCAAACAGAGACCGCCTCCCAGGTCAAGGACAGTAAGGTAAGCCTGGGCTGGGCTTCTGAGTGTAAAGTAGCATTCATAACTCACTAGAAGTGTGCTCATTGATAGAAGAGGACCCTTACTCCTGAGACAGACCCTACTTCCCTCCCTTCTTTTATCCAAAAACCTGGAAGCTACCTGTATAGTTTGTCAGGTGCCATCTGGCGGCCCCAAATAAGGCTAGAGACTTGCTGTGCGAGCAGCACCCCTGGCTGCGAGTTCTGACTTGGATGTCTGGCGGGCCTGTGTGCACCCAGTCCCGGCCCAGCCCCCTCTTAGCCTCCACTGTGAAGTGGGGGCATGGTGGCACTCCCTCAGGAGATCTGTGGCTCGAGTGAGGCCACACCAGCAGGCCCTGAACTGCGTGCTCCAGGGGGACTGTCCCACTGCTAGTCTGTGTTCACCCCCGATCCTCCCTCTGATTGGCCTTCTAGCCTCTGGTGGAACGGTTTGAGACATTCTGCCTGGACCCTTCCCTCGTCACCAAGCAAGCCAGCCTCGTGCACTTCCCGCCAGGATTCCAGCCCGTCCCCTGCAAGCCTTTGTTCTTCGACCTGGCCCTCAACCACGTGGCTTTCCCACCCCTGGAGGACAAGTTGGAGCAGAAGACGAAGAGCGGCCTCACTGGCTACATCAAGGGAATCTTTGGGTTCAGGAGCTAACCAGGCTCTTCTGGGGGCAGAGGAGATTCTGACTCGATCTGTATTGTGAGAAAACCCCAGCCAATTCCATGATATTAAATCCAGGTCCGCATTGGCCCAGGGCGGGAGTTAACACCCTCACTCAGCCCGTGTCCCTGTGTCTTGTGTGTGCACCCACATCCTTAAGCAGTGCTGGAAGCGCATCCCGCCATCTCCTGGGACCTGTGTGCGGGTCCCTCTGTCTGCTGCTCCTGGGGAGGGCACCGCCATCTGCCCTGTGCGAGCTGTGGTTGGTTCCTGTCGGTCAGTGATGTGCTTGGGAGGGAGGTTCACACCAGGCACGGAGGGCGGTTCGGAGCGCCCAGTCCCGCTGCTTCAGTCCCTTGGATTTGAAACGGACTCCTTGCTGCGAGGACGCGTTGGCCACGTCGCCCCCGAGTTACAGTCAGCGTGCGCCCCCATCCACATCCAAGTGAGAGTTAAGTTTCACAACAAGCAGAGCTCTATTTTTGGAAGAAATGTGTTACACTCAAATGATGAAAACAAATCTTATATTAAAAGGCAAAGATACTGGAGACTGTGCCCGTTTCTTATATGCCCTCCCTCACACCAGTCCCAGGCGGCTCCTTGGGGACATGGTGCAGGATCCGGTCCTGTCCGGGGCATCCTGCCCTCCTGACAGCGTGGGCGTGTCTGATGCCAGATAAGAGTGTTAGAGACACTTCCTAGAGTTCCCAGACTGTAATTTTTAGCTGCCATTACATTTTAATCAGCTTCTTTCGTTACCCCTTTATTTTTTCCTTAGTCATTTTTTTATAGCATCAATAGTAAGTCACACAAGCAATATGAGAAAGCAAGGAATAAACGAGATTTAAGCATGAGATGTACTCGAAACCTCTAAATCCCTTGGGAATTGGAAACTCGTCCCATAGGAAAGAATCCACCCCGGGGCAGGTTGGCTTACGTGTGGTCGGACATGGCACCGACTGAGCAGCTTGGAGAGAAGGTTGAACCGTTGGGGATCTGAGATCCTTGCAGGACGGAGCCCACTGTGGTGCCTCCTGTCTTCCCAGGAACCGCAGGGGTGACGGCCGGAAGCCAGAAGGGTGGTGGGTGGACTGTCGGGGATTCTCGGGGTGCTCAGGCAGGCTCTCTCCTCCCCGCCTTTGCTCTGGGTCAAAGAACTCTTCTGTGGTGTTTTGTTTGTTTTGTTTTTTATTGAAAGTGTCATGGTCTCTGCCACACAATTTAGGAATATCCTCCCTCCCTCGTAAAATACAGCAGATGATCTTAGGTTGTGGTGTTGGATGTCGGGCCCAGAGGCTCGGGCCCAATGGGCTGGGGGAGGGGGGCTTTGTCCTTTCCTCACCCTCCTCCAGCTCCCAGGGCGTCGACAGCACGGGGCTGTGGTCCAGGTCCGCATCTCCCTGCCTCCTCGCGCTGACCTTGGCCACAGCCACAGCCGGGCTGTCCTCCAACGCAGGAGCGCAGTCCTCCGACTGGGGGGTGGGGCTGGCTGGAGAAGCCCCTCCTGTCCTCTCTGGGAAGATGTCCCTTTGTCTTGCTCGCGGCCCTGCCAGCGCCTCCCATTTACAGTGCCGGCATCAGCCCCGGTCCAGCTGCTGAGCTTTTCCTCTCGTGGCCGCGCTCGGAGGCCCTTCCCCCTGGTGTCCCTGCCGGCGGCTCTGACTCACAGCTGTCAGCCAGGCAGGACAGACATGTTTGGTGTCACAAGCACATATTTACATAAGGACAGACCCGGCAGGGCCGAGGGCTCCGGTTAGCTCCACATCCCTTAGCATCGGGTCCCTAGACATTAACCAGGCTGTGTCCCAGGGGACAGCGTGCCAAAGGCAGGCCCCCTGCCCGTCCTAAGGCCCAGGAAGCAGCTTCCAGCTCTCTTGGGAACAGGCTCGGTCAGGCCTGAGCTGATGGATTCCAGAGGGAAACAAACAGCACGGCCCACGTGGCTCTTCCTCCCAGAGCAGGCGACGCCGAGGGCTCGGGCGCAAGGAGCGGAGGGGGCACCCGCTCCGTCCCCAGGGTGGGCAGGTTGGGAGCCTGCAAAGGTCGTCTGTTCCCCAGATCCAGAGTCGGAAGAACGCTCAATCTGCCGGCATTTGCAGACCCTGTGGGCTGCTGTGTTAGTATTTTTCTGCCTGCTGGGTGGTCATGGGCTTGACCCACAGAAACATTACAAGTGACAAGCTGACTTCAGTTCTCAGGATAATGCTCAACATAGGATTGAAAAGGACAATTTGGCCAAGTCTGTCTGCCTTTAACCCTGTTGGTTCTGTTTAGAAAAAAGGAGTGTGGACTGACTGCCGGGACTGGGTTTTTTCTCCTTTTCACATGTATTGTTTTGATGCACTGTCTCTGGTTTTATAGCGAGAAGTCTGGACTCCCTGTTTGAAATGAAACACTACTGGGCTTGGTTCCGTCTCCTTCACCTGTGGGTAACCCGAGCCTTCCGCTGGCCGAGGTGACAACCTGGGACGGCAGTGTGCCCCGCCGTCGGCCCCTGCTCCCGAAGCGGAGGGGAGGCTGCACTGCGGGGGCGTGAGGCGGCTGCGCTCTGGTGGTCACCGCCTCCCCGCAGAGCCCGTTCTCACGCACTCGCACCGGAGCTAACAGCACAGAACCCTGAACAGCACGTTGCTGTCTGGGCCTTGGGAAGCTTGGAACCTTCAGGGGTCTAGGAAGATGGCCAAAGATAGCAAAAATATGTGTTCTCATTTTTTGTTTTGAAGACACTCGTTGCTACAGAGGAGATGGAAACCAGATTTAGCTGTAAAATTTATCGATGTTCCGAAGCGAAGATTAATTGGAAGCTGCTTGCTTCCTGACAACACCAGCTGGAAGACTCCAGCCTGTTGTGTCGGATGTTAAGGCGCCGTGCGGTGCGGGGGGTGGGGGTGGGACATAGCCCCGATCTGCAGGGGGTCCACGGAACCGGCACCGCTGGCACAGTAGCAGCACCACAAGTGTGGGCTGAGTTAGCAGCTGGTGCACATTAAAAAAATGCCTCAAATGCAAAGTACTGGTGGAATTCTTGTGGGGACCTTTCATCTGGCCTCTCCCCGCCGTTACGGGACTGTGAGTAAGGACCTGGGTGTGTGTGTTCGCTTTTGCTGGGGGGCAGGATTGTGACCCTACAGCTCCAGGAGAGACCTGCAAGGAGCCCAGCAGGCGGGCCCTGCCTGCCGAGGCCGCCGTGGCGATTTCCGTAGCGGCAGAAGGGGGCCTCGCTTCTCCGCTCCCGTGTTTAGCGGATGGCTTTGTTCACCTCCATGAACTGCAGCTGTGTCCTCGTGCAGTCTGTGAATGACCCCTCCCCACCTGGAGGAGAACCACGTCCTTTCTGTGAGGCTGAACTTTCCCCAGGACCTCTGGCAGGGGGCAGCTGACACGCAGGTAACCGGGTCCCTGGAAGCTGGCCCCCTTAGTGAGCTCTGTCTGGCCCATGGGGTCATCCCCTGTAAGGCCGGCACCTCTGTTTCTCTAACCTACTGAGAGAGACCATGTGCAGAGAGCCTAGTACCTAGGAGGCACTTGACAAAGGTGCATTTCTTCCTCCACGGCTGCCCGCACCCATGCGCCCGCACCCATGGCTCTGGCCCGGGCCTGAGGGAGGACACCCTGACACCGAGGACTGAATCTAGAAGTCTCTCTCTCCCTCGCTGCAGCCCTTCAGCAAGGAGGTGCCAGGACAGCCCGCCCAGGGTCCAGCAAGTGTGGGCTGCTGTGCCCTGAGCTGGTGGGGCCAGTGCAGCCGAGAGGTGAGGAGACCCTTCCGTTCACTTCGGCCTCGCCCTGTGCAGGCCCCTCGGAAGCCGGATCCTCCCCGGTGTAAGCCATGCCATGGGGGCGGCAGGCTGCCCTGGTGTGCGTTCCAATTTCCTGGCAGTAAAGGCTGGTTATGAGTTAGTCTATGGAGACCGCTATTCTTTTTTCTTTTGCGTGTTCATTTTATAAACCTTTTTCTTCCTCAGACCAGTGAACGGGCTCAGCGCGCCTTAACCGCTGCTCTTCATAGACCCAGCGTAGCTCTCCCGCTGCCTGCCGTGCCGTTGGCCTTCGAGGGTCACGGTTAGCCAGCCGCCTCCATCAGACCTGAACTTCTTCATGGCAGGGCCGCAGGTCCCCAGACCTCGCCATTCAAGGTGGCTGGGCGGCCCAGAGCCCTTGGGCAACGTGGGAGACCTGGAGGCCCAGCCGTTGCTGACAGAGTGGATGGGAATTCAGGGGTGGCTCGTGCCACAGACTGCTGCGGTGGCCCGGGGAGGTGGCCGTACCAGCCCTGGGGCCATCACGGTTGCCCGCGGCTGGGGACAGGGAAGCATTCCTGGGGGGGACAGGTACTCAGGCAGTCTTGACCTTGCCCTCCTGGCCTGACTTGGGACTTGAGGACTCCTGAGGTCCGTGCTGTCTGTCTGGCCATCTGGTATAGGGAACCTCGCTTTCTCAACACAGGCAGTGTGTGTGTGTGTGTGTGTGGCTTCCTCTAGACGCCTCCTGCAGAAGTCCCAAGAGAGCCAGTGCCTTTTTCTCCTGTTCCGCCCTAGTTAGCAAGCCTTGGTCACCTGCTCCTCTCCAGGCCAAACTTCGACACTGATTTTTTTTGTTAAATATGTTTTTATTGACTTTTTAGAGTGAGAGAAAGGGAGAGAGATAGAAATATTGATGAGAGATATACACCGATCGCTGCCTCCTGCATGCCCCCCACTGGGGGTCGAGCCCACAACCCGGGCATGTGCCCTGACCGGGAACCGAACTGAGACCTCTCAGTCCATGGGACTGTGCTCAGTGCACTGAGCCACACCGGCTGGGCTCAACACTTTTTTTTTTATTCCTCACCTGAGGATATTTTTCTATTTATTATAGAGAGTGAGAGAGAGAGAGACAGAAACATTGACGGGGCAGAGCCACATCGACTGGCTGCCTCCTGCACGACCCAGCCAGGGCCAGGGACGAATGCAACCGAGGTACGTGCCCTTGACTGGAATCCAACCCGCAATTCATTGGTCCGCGGGCCAATGCTCTAACTGTTGGGCCAAACCAGCCAGAGCTCAGCACTTCTTTTTATCATACTTGCTGGGCAGACTCGCAGCCAATACAGAGCCCCCACCAGACTGCCCTGTGGACTCCTGGGACTCCTTCCCCCAGGCACCTGCAGCCAGAAGGAGGTTCATCTAGCTCCTCACACCAGCCCCTGGCCTCTCGTCCCAGCTGGTGGAGGAACCTCCGCTCCTCAGCAAGCCAAGGAGGGCAAGGCAAGAGGTTATTAGCCAGCCTGGCTCCAAGGGTCTGGTGACAGAGCTTTTGTACAAACAGAGAGCAATTTCCTGAGATGGCAAAGCTTGTCCCGATCAGGAGCACGCGGGAGCCTGGCAGAGCATGACTCCCAGGGCACAGGAGGCAATTGCACCATCTGCTTCATCAGGAAGAAGAGCACCCTTTCCTGCAGGAGCCCCAGGAGCTGGAGGACAGAGTGGGTAGGGTAAGCCCTGGGACACTGTCCACCCTGTTGCCTAGCTGCACCGGTGCATGCGTGCACGGCAGCCCGGAGTGAGACGCTCTGCTGCGTCCACTCTGACCGGCCCCTGCTCCAGCCTCAGACCTCATGAGCTGTCAGCAGCCCACATAGCCCGCTGGAAGCCCCGGGGTCGGGAGTAAGCTGCCACTTAAAGTCATCGCTGGTGCAGTGCTGGGGGGAGACTTGGGATCCAGTGACCTCAGACCTCTCAGTCCACACAGAAAGCCAGCGCCAGGCGAGGGGAAGGCTTGGGGAGGACAAGCAGCCAGGTCTTGGGCTTCCTGCCCGGTTCCAAACTGGAGACGTGTCGCGGGCGAGGCCTAGGAGGGCTGAGGGGTGGAGCCCCGGCCCAGCTTCTGGGTGAGAACTCTCCGGCAGAACTATGATGCGAGGCACCAATGCAGGCCACATCTGTCATTTTACATTTTCTTTTTAAAAAATATTTTTCTTTAGCCCTGGCCAGTTTGGCTCAGCATCGGCCTGTGGACCAGAGAGTCTTGGGTTCAGTTCCCACTAAGGGCACGTACCTCGGTTGCAGTTTGTCCCCGGCCCTGGTTGGGGTCGTGTAGGTGGCAGTTAACTAGTCAATGTGTCTCTCTCACGTTGATGTTTCTCTCTTCCTCCCCCTCTCCCTCCCACTCTATCTGAAGATAAATGCAAAAATGTCCTCAGGTGAGGATAAAAAATATTTTTATTTTTCTTTATTGATTTTAGAGAGAGAAGAAGGGAGAGGGAGAGAGAGATAGAAACATCAACGAGAGAGAGAGCATTGATTGGGCCTCCTCCTGCATGCCCCCACTGGGGATCTGACCCACAACCTGGGCATGTGCCCTGACCGGGAATCGAACTGGTGACCTCTTGGTGCAGGGTCGACGCTCAACCACTGAGCCACACCGGCCAGGCTGGCCTTTTAAATTTCCTAATAGCCACTTGAAAAAAGTAAAAAATGTTAATTTTAAAAAATATTTCATTTAACTTAATATATCCAAAATATCATTTTGACATATAATGGATATAAAACATTAATGCGATACGTTACATCGTCTTTTCATATTAAGTACTTGAAATTTGGCCCGAGACTCGCACAGCCCGTCTGTTTGCACTGGCACATCTCGGGCACTCAAGAGCCGCCCAGGGCTCATGGCTGCTGCGTGGGACAGCGCGGGCCCACCCTGCCTTCTGAGTGAGCAGCTCTTTCCCGACATATTTAAAACCCTCTGTCTTTTTTTCCCTGTCCCTTGGGAGCCAGGACATGCCACCTGAGTGGGGGCGTCCCTGGTGAGCGGGGGCCTCCTCAGACCGGCTGTCCTGCCCACCGTGCTGGCCCTTATCCAGGAGCTGAGCCCTGATTCACTGGGGCATCAGACAGTCACGCCAGGAATTCGATCTTGCTTTTCTGGCGGTGAATCAGTTAGCGCTAATCTCTGGGGCGTGTGAGGGCCCTGTGGCACTCATTTATTTCCAGGAGGGTTCTGCAGACCGGAGGCAACGATCAGATGTCCCAGATCGCAGCCTGGCTGTCTCCCACCACCTGCCCTCCACCCGCGGGCCGCAGCCCTCTCCCCTGCTCAGCTCCGAGGGCTCCCCACCCCCGGGGCTGGAGTCTGCACATCAGCCCCCACCCCCAGGCCTCTCCTCGAATGGCCCCCACCTCTAAGGAAGGGGCCTGGAGCCCCTTCCCTCGGGGAGGCAGGGCTGAGGGCTCCTCTCCAGCCCGGGCTCCCCTGGCCTGGGCGGTGCCCAATCTCAGAGATAAGGAATTGTGCTGACTGGTCTGGGATGAGAGGCTGCAGTTAGGCTTGGCTCCTGGACCCTGCAATCATGTAAACATATGGCCCCTTTCTGAGGACACTTGATTGCAGGCGTGTGGCACGTGGTCAGAAGACATCGTCACCCAGGAACAAGGAGGCTGGGCGGAGGCCGAGTGGCCTCTGGGCCCACCTTGCACCTCAGGCCACCGCAGCCAGTGGGGGCGGAACTTCCGGTGGAGACCACTCTGCTTCCCTCCGCTACTTGTGCCGTCCAGGCTGCCTGCCGCCCTCCCACCCCACGCCTGCAGCCCTGGTCCCTCTCCAGAGCTAAACTCAGTGGTTCATCCATGAGATGCCTCCAAAAGGGATTCAGGCCTCTGTCTCCCTGCGCATGTGGCAGTGCCAGGCCCCTGCCCTGGGTCTCCCGAGCCTGCTGGGACCCTTCTCTCCTTTCCGATGGGCCCTGCCCGCAGCGAGGCCTCCCAGGATGTCCCAGCATTCCAAGCCAGTGCGCCTGCATCCTCTTCCTGCTCCCCTCCCACCCTCCTTCCATCGAAACGATAGAAGGGGCTTCTTGAGCTGGGCCAGTGACATGAGCACCTGGAAATGGGGGACCCTTGTCCTTGAAGACCCTGGGGCCACTGCAGAAGGCAGCTCCCAGGATGGCCTTTCTGGCACTCGGTGTGAGGGAGAGGCCAGTAAGCTGGCCCCGCCGTCGGCCACGAAGTCTGACTTCAGGAGAGCCACTAGCGGCCACTGCCAGGGAACGGAGTGGGAGAGGAAGGAAAATCCGAGCACAGTGGGTGCCCAGCACATGGGGACTAACACTGGTGGGGTCCTTGTCCCTCTGGAGCTGGTCTGAGACCCTTCTGAGGACCCTGGTCATGCACGTCCTACTGCATCTGGCCCTGGAGTCACAGACAGGTGGGATGATGCTAAGCCAGTCAGGGAGTCGGGCAGCGAGCCTGCTGGGTAGAGCGCCCAGGAGCCAGCTGGGTGGTGCCCACTTTGAAAATGTACCCTGTGCCAGTTGTCGGGGGTGAACGCGCCTGGCTTCCCCATCATGTCAGCAGAACACAAAGCAGAGACCTGGGTGCTCTGGTGGTGAGAGGCACCCTCCTGCCCACCCCAGGGGTGGGCGATAGCCGTGGCGGGGGGGGGGGGGGGCACACCTGATATCCCTGCCTCTGTGTGGCCGGAGGTGTTTATTCACCCAAGCTGAGCTCTGAGGCAGGGTCTCTGTCCCCTAGCCTGCGTGTGCCTGCGTCTGTCTGTCTGGAGTCTGTCCCTCCTGTGCCCAGCTGGGTGTGATCGCTGCTCGCTGCCTCTGGGCCTGTGGGTGTGGCAAGTCCAAACCTTCTCTGGGAGTTGGGCAGGCTCAGGCGCCCCGCCCTCTGGGCTCTGCCCTTTCCTCCCAAACTGGTTGTGCAGGAGGGGTGAGTGTGGGCGAGTGCCGGTGCATGCGCAGCTGCCAGGCCTCACCTGCAGAGAGGGGCCTCCCAGAAACTGCCTTTGCTCCCAGTGCCCAGCTGCCCCGCCTTGCCAGAGCCCAGCCGAGCCACCAGTGAGGACACACGCCGCCACCCGCTGAGCCCAGCCTGAGCCAGCACCTGCCTTCACCACCATGTTCAAGGGGCTGAGCAAAGGCTCCCAGGGGAAGGGGTCCCCCAAGGGCTCCCCAGCCAAGGGCTCTCCCATGGGCTCCCCCAGCAAGCACAGCCGGTGAGTGGAGCCGGGGGCTGGGGCTGGGTGGGGTGGTGCCAGACCCGGGTGCTCCTGCCACCTGGAGGTGCAGCCCAGGGACTCAGGACCAGCCCAGTGCTGGTATGTGGTGTCCGGAGGCCAAAGTGCCAAAGTTCCCGGGGGGTAGACTCTCTTCCTGTCCCAGGCTGAGCTCCAGCCCCGGCCAGAGACTAGGGATGGCCTGGGGCTCCTGCATTCCCTGGCTGGGGTGGGGGTGGGTGGGAGATGCTGGCCGGGAGTGGAGGCTGCTCTGCCGGAGCTGGACAGAGGCCTGAGCAGCTGCCTTGTGTGCAGGGAGGCGGGGACTGCAGTGCCTGGCTCGTTCCTGGCTCTGCCCTCAAGGCTCTGCTCAGGCTGGGCCCACCCTTGGGATCTGGGCACAGGGTGGGCAGAAGGCCTGAGGCCAGAGAAGCCCGGAGCTGGGAGGTGGGGTGCCGCTTTCCCCACGAGGCTCTCAGGCCTTGAGAGTTTTACATAGAGTTGGGGTGATTCCTTCACCGTGTGGGTGTGTGGAGGGGTTGCTGTGGGGAAGGGGGAAGGGCCTGCAGGCCCCAGACCTCCTCGGTCTCCCTTGGTTCACCCAGCTCTCTGCAGGGCCCAGCCAGGCTCCCAGAGCCCCAAGCTGTGCAGGCAGGCTTGGCCGGCATTCTTCCTGCTCCCTGGCCAGCAGCCCCCTCTGCAGGGTGGGGGTGGCAGCTCACCGGGGTCCCGGGTATGGAAATGAGAATGGAGACAAAAAGCCTATTATCCCGATAGAGATCAGGGCGAAGGGCGGCAACACGGAGGCTGGGTTTCTGGGCAGATGGGAAAGGCAGCACTTGAGACTCGGTGGAGTGACCTGTCCTCCCTGGGGCTCCTGGGCCCTGCCCAGGGTGGAGTGCGCTCCTCCTGGCGGGAGCGGGCCCTCCGGGAGGCTGGGCCTGAGGACTGGGTGCCCAGGGCTCGGGACCCACCGCTCCCCGGCCTAGGCGGCCTCCTGGGCAGTGCTTCCTGGCCGGGCCTCTGTCCGCATGGCCCTGTCCTCTGGCTGCAGCCCCCGAAGAGGACTCCTCGTTCCCTCTGCGCTGAACTGTGTGCTGAGACTATTCCGAGCACTGGGGATGCCCGCAAACAGAACCGACAGGTCCCTGCCCTCGCGGCAGGTACATCCTACTGGAATGAAAACTACTTCCGCCCTGGCCAGTTGGCTCAGCGGTTAGAGCCCTGACCCGCGGACCCGAAAATCCCGGTTCCCGCTAAGGGCACGTACCTCAGTTGAGGTTCGTCCCTGGCCCCAAGGGGTCTTGTGGGTGGCAACCAGTTGATGTGTCTCTCTCACATTGATGTTTCTCTCTCTCTCCCTCCTCTCTATCTGAAGATAAATGCAAAAATGTCCTTGGGTGAGGATGAAAAAACAAAAAAACTAGCACTTCCTGGGTGCCAAAGGCACAGGCTCTAAACCGGATGTTTCAGAGGGATTAGTTCTAACATAGTAACATGGCAAGGCACATATTATTATTATTATTATTTTTCATCCTCACCCGAGGACATTTTTCCATTTTTTGTTCAGATAGAGTGGGAGGGAGAGAGAGGAGGAGGGAGGAGGAGGGGGAGAGAGAGAGAAACATCAACGTGAAAAGGACACATCAAGTGGCTGCCACCCGCACGACCCAACCAGGGCCGGGGACCAACTGCAACCAAGGTACATGCCCTTAGTGGGAACTGAACCCGGATCTCTCTGGTCCACGCTCTAACCACTGAGCTAAACCGGCAAGGGCTTATCTTTATTGTTGAAAGTATTACAAGTGTTCTCCCGTTTTTCCTCCATTGACCCCCTCCTTCCCTAGGCAGATATTATTAAAGCCCCACTCTGGGGAACCTCAGGCACAGAGAGGTTAAGTAATTCGCCCAAAGCTACACAGCAATAGTGATGGAGAAGTTCAGACTGGATCTTTGCTGCACCACCCCTCTGCCCGGGGATCAAAGCCCAGCTCTGTGAAGGCTTCCCTTCCCCAAGACTGGCCTGGCAGGGTGCCGGCCCTGAGGCTTGGACCACTCTTCCTTTGAGGAGTTCTGCTTGAGCCCTGGCCCCCGAGAGTGAGCTCAAGCCCACGGCAGGTGCCGCCGCGGCGTCTGGGTGATGCACGGAAAAGAACCCTGGAGGCCCTGTGAAGGCTCATAGTCTGCTCCTGGCTGTGTGACCTAGAACAAGTCAGGTCCCAGTTTGGGCTGGGAACCCCTAAATCTTGAAAATGTTGAGATGCCCTGGAAATCTCTTGGCCCCCACCATGCCCCAGTGCTGTGTGGCTCTTCTGGACGGAGCCTGGGCATAGGCAAAGCCTGGGGCAGTCGGGGAGACAGGGCTGGGGTGGGAGGAAGTTTGGGTGGGGACATGTTGCTGTTCCCCAGCCCCAGCCAGCCCGACTGCCCCTCCCCAAGGCCCAGCTAGACTGTTGCAGGTGTCAAGGGCTGAGCTGGTGATTCACTCGCTGGGCTGCAGCCCGCCCGCCAGGCAGGGAGCTGGGCAGGGCTGGGAGCTCACTGCCAGGACAGTGAGGTCAGCCTTCCCCACAGTGCCACACACACCTGGGACCCTCACCTTCTGATCCTAATTGAGGACAGCGCCCCCCAGCCCCCAGAGTATCTCAGGCTTCTGTAGGGAGACCAGACTAACCCCCGCCACCCCCAAGTCTTAGATTCTTCCTTCCAGGGCAGGGAGCCTGGCTGTAAGGCGGGACAGGGCCAGGGAAGCAGGGAACCTCATTTGGGTGGGTAGACCTCTGCCCAAAGGGAACAGGGGGACCTTTGCCAACAGTGCTGCCCTCTGTCCCACCACCCCATAGAGTTGCCACCCAGGAGCTGGCCGTGCTCATCTCCCGCATGCAGGCCAACGCTGACCAGGTAGAGAGGGACATCTTGGAGACCCAGAAGAGGCTGCAGCAGGTGAGGCCCGGGGGCTGGGGGCACAGAGCAGGACATGGGAGCATGGGAGGCCCACTGTCTCTCCCTGGCCATGTGAAGATGGGACAGAGGACCTTTGTCCTTCCCGGGCCACTCCCCACATGCAGTGGGAAAGAGGGCTCAGCACTTCTCTGCTGGACTTCTAACTTGGGGTGTCCAGGGCGCTCGGGGGCCCAGGCCTACCCCGTGTCCTTGAGCTTGCCCAGGGCCCGTCCCTCTGTCCGTGTGGGCCCAATGTTGGCCAGTGCGGCCAGGGTTCCTCAGGGTGGGGCTCGGGGCAGTGGTGGGCAGTAAGGATGCTGTCCCCGCCCGCAGGACCGGCTGCACAGTGAGCAGAGCCAGGCCCTGCAGCACCGGCAGGAGGCAGGCCGCAACCTGAAGGAGGCCGAGGTTTTGCTGAAGGACCTCTTTCTGGATGTGGATAAGGCCCGGCGGCTAAAGCACCCACAGGCCGAGGAGATAGAGAAGGAGTGAGTGGGGGTGGGGCTTGGGCTCAAGGATGCAGGAGGCAGGATGCCAGGGGAGCCCCTGATCCAGCCCTGACCTGCTGGCTGTCTCCTTGGCAGCATCAAGCAGCTGCACGAGCGGGTGACCCAGGAGTGTGCCGAGTACCGCGCCCTGTACGAGAAGATGGTGCTGCCCCCCAACATGGGGCCCAGAGTGGACTGGGCACGGGTGCTGGAGCAGAAACAGGTCAGGGGCATTCCCAGTGCTGGAGACTCCTCAAGGAGCTGGAAGTCACACCCAGCAGTCATCGGAGCAGTACTGTGTCACCAGGGGCCGGACAGTGTGCTTGGACTGGAGGTGGTTAGGAGTCCGAAAGGGAGAGAGCACAGAGAAGTACAGTCAGGGAAGGCTTCCTGCAAGAGGAGGCTCCGAGGCCTCAGAGAGGTGGAAAAGCGTGGCTGGGTGGGGTGAAGTGATGAGGAGAGGACACTCCAGAAAGAAGGAACAGAGGCTCCCGCCAGAGGAAGCCTGGGTGTGATAGGAAGTGGGGCTTTCTGGGCAGACAGGCAGAACCAGGTCACGGGCACCCTGAACCCTCATCCTGAGTGAGGAATTGTGCTTTGCTGCTGCAACAGAAGGGGTGTCATGATGACAATGCAGGGACAGTGGGGAAGCCGTGGGCAGGGCAGAGCAGGGCATGCTCAGACTCCCGCTGAGATGGGACTGAAGGGAGGCAGGGCAGAGCGCGAGATGTCTCAGAGGCTGAGACCCAAACCATGGGGACCAGTGGGAGTCAGGGACTGCAGTCATGGTGATGCCAAGGCCTCAGCCGGGGCCCCTGGAGAATGGCATGTCCCCGAGGGTGAGCTGCAAGCTATTGACCCAGGATATTCTGGGTTGTCCACCCTCTGCCTAAAGGACCAGCTCCACCCTGCTGATGGGGGTGCAGGGAGGGCAGGCCCCGAGGTGGAGCTGAGTGGCTGCCCTTCTGCAGAAGCTGGTCCGCGAGGGGCACTACGGGCCGGGCATGGCAGAGCTGGAGCAGCAGGTGGCTGAGCACAACATCCTGCAGAAGGAGATCGACACCTACGGGCAGCAGCTGCGGAGCCTTGTGGGGCCGGTGGGTGAGCCTCCCGCATGCGCATCCCAGCCCAGCCCCCCCTTGTCCCCTCAGAGCCTGAGCTAGGCCTGCTGGCCCCTGGGGTGGGGGCAGGAGAAGGGGGTCCCAGTTGGCCCCGGGCAAGGGGTGTGATCTCCCCCCACCCCCGCTTCTCACTGGGCCTGTTTTCCCCCTTGGTTGAGGCAGGACTCGAACTCCATCCGCAGCCAATACCGGGACCTACTGGTGAGCAGGCGGCAGGGCCAGGCTGGTGGGCTGGGAGCAGGCGGGCCTGGCTGCCGGCGCCCTCGACTGGGCCAGTGTTTCTGGATGCCGCCCCTTCTCTCCCCGAGCACAGAAGGCTGCCTCCTGGCGCGGGCAGAGCCTGGGCAGCCTGTACACGCACCTGCAGGGCTGCACGCGCCAGCTGAGTGCCCTGGCCCAGCAGCAACACCGCATCCTGCAGCAGGACTGGAGCGACCTCATGGCGGACCCCGTGGGCGTGCGGCGGGAGTATGAGGTCAGCGGGGGAGAGCGGGGTGGGTGGGGGAGCAAGGGCGTCCCCATCCTCACCGTCCCCATCCTCACCGCCTGCTCTCCGACTCCCCCAGCACTTCAAGCAGCGTGAGCTGCTCAGCCAGGAGCAGTGCGTGAACCAGCTGGAGGACGATGGGGAGCGCATGATGGAGCTCGGGCACCCGGCCGTGGGGCCCATCCAGGTGCCGAGGCCCAGGGGCGCGGGGTCCCCTGCTCCCTCAGTAGAGGGCTTCCCAGGGAGGCTGGGGAGACGGAGAGGGAGACATGGCCCAGGTTGGGGCCAGCAGAGTGGGCGGTGGCGGTGGACTGACCAGGGTCTGGGGCTCCGTGCTGCTGTCTCCAGGTCCACCAGGAGGCCCTGAAGATGGAGTGGCAGAACTTCCTGAACCTGTGTATCTGCCAGGAGAGCCAGCTGCAGCACGTGGAGGACTACCGCCGGGTGAGCCCGTGGGCGGGGCGAGCCCGTGGGCGGGGCGAGCCCGTGGGCGGGGCGGGCCCGTGGGCGGGGTGGGCCCGTGGGCGGGGCGGGGAAGGGCGGGGCGAGCCTGGGGGCGGGGCGGGAAGGGGCAGGGCGAGCCTGGGGGCGGGGCGACGAGTGGGTGGGTACTAGGGCTCCAGCTGAAGCGCAGAGGTGCCTGGAGGACAAAATAGGACACACTCACATTGTGGGCGACAAGGCACCTCATGAAAATGACAGTGGTGTGTCTGAGACTAGGTCCCAGAGGGAAAATAAAGTCATATCTACATTCTCAACCGGGAGAGAGCGTGAATTTGGTTCTTATGAATAAAAAAGTGTTGCTCTTTTTATGCATAAGGCATAGATGTACACACAGGAAGGACGGACCACGTCTCTGTGTGGGGAAATGTCATGGAGATGGTGGCGAAATGAATACTGTGTCTGAAATACCTCCTTGGCCTGGCCGGTGTGGCTCAGTGGTTGAGCGCCAACTCATGCCCTGAGAGGTCACCAGTTCGATTCCCGGTCAGGCACATGCCCAGGCTGTGGGCCCGATCCCCAGTGGGGGGCATGCAGGAGGCGGCCAATCCATGTTCTCTCACGTTGATGTTTCTATCTCTCTCTCCCTTTCTCTCTAAAAATCAATAAAGAAAAAAAATTAAAATACCTCTTTAGAAAGGACAATAATAAAAAGTGTTAAGAAACATTGATGTAATATTCAGCAGGAACTCTTTTTGGTAATTTTCACCCAAAATGTTTCATATACTTTAAGAGAAACAAAAGCCAAGGAGTTTTATTCTTCCTTTTTTTTTTTAAATTTTTTTATTCCTCACCTGAGGATATTTTTCCATTTATCATTATATAGAGTGGGAGGGAGGGAGGGAGGGGGAATGAGACAGAGAGAAACATTGATGCGATAGAGCCACATCGACTGGTTGCCACCCACACGACCTGACCAGGGCCGGGGACAAACCACAACCGAGGTACGTGCCCTTGGCTGGAATCGAACCCGCAACTCTTTGGTCCGCGGGCTGACGCTCTAACCACTGAGTCAAACCAGCCAGGGCTCTTCTTTTTTCTTTTTTTGTATAACCACAATACCATACTGTGCCCATCGCCAAGAATTCTGTAATATCATCCAGCTGTGGGATGTTTCTTTATTTTTTATATTTATTTTTTCTTTATTGATGTTTAGAGAGAGAGATAGAAACATCGATGAGAGAGAACATGGATTGGCCGCCTCCTGCATGACCCCACTGGGGATTGGGCCCACAACCTGGGCATGTGCCCTCACTGGGAATTGAACTGGCGACCTCTTGGTGCATGGGTCAATGCTCAACCACTGAACCACATCAGCTGGGCTGTGGGATGTTTCTTTAAAGCACATCCCCAGCCCGGCCAGTGTGGTTCAGTGGATTGAGCGTCATCCCATGGACTGAGAGGTCTGGTTCCATTCCTGGTCAGGGTACATGCCCGGGTTGCAGGCTCCATCCCCAGTAGGGGGCGTGCAGGAGGCAGCTGATCCATGCTCCTTTCTGACATCGATGTTTCTCTCCCCTTCCTCTCTCTCTAAAAAAACAATAAAAACCAATTTTTAAAAATAAAGCACATCCCCAGGCCCTGGCCGGGTAGTGCAGGTTGTTAGGGCATCTTCCTGATACACTATACCAAGGTTGCGGTTTCAATCCCCAGTCAGGGCACATACAAGAAACCACCAATGAATGTATAAATACGTGGAATAACACATTGATGTTTCTCTCTCAAATCAATCAAAAAAAAAATTAAAGCCTAGCCCCAGCTTCTCCCCCTGGGTACCCAGCCCGGGTCCCAGCAGGACAACTGCAGGCACAGAGGGAGGCGCAGAGGCAGCACCCTCTCCCATACAGAAGGACAAAGCCCAAGTGTTTACAACACTAGAGGATATTAAGTTCAGTGAACTAAACACGCCCCTTTGCAGAGCACTCCAGCTAAGAAGGCCCCACTGCCCTGTAGGCAGTCCGGTGGCCACTGTGGGGACAGTGGCAGTTTGAGTTCAGCTGGACTGCATTTAGCTGGTTGCTGGGTTGGGCAGTGGGGTGCCCTGGGCTCTGCTTGACCACCCACTGACCTCAGTTCCAGGAAGACGCGGACTCTGTCAGCCAGACCCTGGCGAAGCTCAACTCCAGCCTGGATACTCAGTATGGCCCTGCCCCTGGGGGGCCCCCTGGCACTCACACAGAGCTGCTACGACAGCTGGAGGTGAGACAGCCCCGCCCCGCCCCCAACTCCTGGGAATGGGACCTGTCTGTGTGTCTGGGCCTCATCCCTCCCAGGTACCTCGTCCTGCCTGAGCCCTGGCCTGGGGCGGCAGGAGGAGGGGGTCACTCTAAGGAGGGGGCTGGTCTGCTACCAGCCAGCTCTTACCCTCCAGGGACCTCAGCTTCCATATCTGTAATGTGACGGCCTCCAGGATTGTTCTGAGGCTCATCAACCCCCCTCAAGGCCTGGATGCTTCCGGGTAGCCCTACCCGCGCCAGCCAGCAGAACCCGGGGTCCTGGGCCCCCAGGGAGGGGCTCCTTTTACTTTGCTGACCTAGAGACCATATTCATGAAGGCCAGATCCCTGGCTTTCTTGGGGAGGTGGGTAGGGGGCAGGCCTGGCCTGAACCCCCACTGCCTGGGACCCCGTAGGCAGAGGAGAAGAAGCTGGCTGTGGCTGAGAAGACCATTGGGGACCTGCAGCGGCGGAGCCGGGAGGTGGTCCCTCTGCCACAGCGCAGGAACCGGCCCCAGCAGCCTGTGCCCGTGGACAGCATTTGTGACTGGGACGCGGGAGAAGTACTGGCTCAGCCCCCGCCCCACCCCTGCCCATCCTACCCATTCCCATCAACACCCCTGCCCCAACTCCTGTTCCCCCACCTGTCCCAGTCACCAGCCTTACCTTATCTTGGCCTTGATCCCTTCTCTGGCCCTGCCCCTGAGCCTACATGAGCCCCTCCCCACCTGCCCCCAGGTGCAGCTGTTGCGGGGTGAGCGGTACATGCTGATGGACAACACTGACCCACACACCTGGGTCGTGCAGGGCCCAAGCGGGGAGACCAAGCGTGCCCCGGCCGCCTGCTTCTGCATCCCAGCTCCAGACCCTGCCGCCGTAACCAGGGCCTCCAAGTGGGTCTGCCTGGGGATACTCAGGGTCAGGGGCAGACTGTGGGCCCACACTGGCCCTGTGGGGTTTGAGGCCACTGTCTGGCCTTCGCCTGGACTGGTGTGTGCGTGGGCTGCGCGGGATAGAGGGAGAAGGGACATCGCTCTGTCCTCCATCCAGGCTGGCCTCCGAGCTGCAGGCCCTGAAGCAGAAGCTGGCCACGGTCCAGAGCCGCCTGAAGGCCAGCGTTGCAGAACCCGTACGGCCTGGCCAGCAGGGTACCAAGGGCTGGCTGGGGCCGGGGTCGGGGTTGCTGGGATAGAGGATGTGGACACCCACTTTGGCTGCTCCTGGGGGCCTACAATAGGCGAGGGTGGCCCTCGGTGAGGGATGTCTGCTCTGGGGACTCCATCCCCCAGGCTGGCAAGTCCCTGGGGCTGCCTCTCCCTCAGTTAGGCCCTGCCCATCCCCTTCCCGCCCTACCCCACACAGGACCCTCTGTGGGCACTCAGGGAGGGGTCCCTCGGGCAGATGAGCAGAGCAGAGTAGGCGTGGACCCTCACAGGCACTCTATGCCCCCAGCTCCGACTGGCTCAGCCACAGCTGACCCACAGGCCCAGAAGCTCCTGACACAGATGACCCGGCTGGATGGGGACCTGGGGCAGATAGAGAAGCAGGTGCTGGCCTGGGCCCGGGCCCCGCTGAGCCATTCGGCACCACTGAAGGACCTGGAGGGCCGAATCCAAAGCCACAAGGTGGGTGAGCGAGGGCCGCTGGGTAAGACGTGGCCCTGCCCTGGGGCTGCACGAACTGAGACAGGCGAGCGTGGGAGCAGCCCCGGGACCGAGGCTGATGAAGGAGTCACGCAGACCAGGTCCTGCCCGGCGCCTCCCCGGCCAGCTCTGAGGCCTCGAGCAGGTCACGTGACCGCCCCGGCCTCGGCTCCTCACCCGCTGCCAGCAGAGGAAGGTCCCTTCTCACCGGGCTGGCGTGGGGCCGGTGGCTGGGTCACGGCCCCCCAAACCAGAGGCGGCCTTCTGCTCAGATGCTCGGTCTGGGTTTGGTTTTCTAACCCTGGAATCACGTCCGTGCTGCTGTGCCACTTGTGGCTCAGTGCGCGGTGCGCCGTGGGAGGCGGCGTTTGGGCGGCGCGGAGGCCGGGGCAGGGGGGCTCCGTGGGAAAGGGCTGCGGTGAGGTGCAGGGGAGCGTGCCGGCGGTTAGCAGGGCATCTCGCAGGTGCTCCTGTGCGTCCGGGAGGAAGCAGGAGTGACCAGAGGCTCGGTGCCTGATCAGTCCCAACGAACGCCTCTGCTGACCCCGGGGGTGCGGAGCCCGACAGGGGTCTGGGCCTCTGCACCCCGCCTTACGGCACTGGTTACACCACCCTGGGACCTGCGGGCCTTCTTGGGCCCAGTCAGCCCCGCAACAGGTCCTTGGGTTTTGAAGTCACAGCCTCACCATGTGGTGTTGGGGGTCCACAGGAAGCCTGGTGGGCCTCCAAACGGAATAGGGCAGGGTGGGTATGGTACCGTGTTGGCACCTATGACCTCTGGAACGAATGAATGAGAAACGGGTGAAAGAAGGAACAAAAACAGCCCTGGCCGGTTTGCCTCAGCGGTTAGAGCGTCAGCCCGCGGACCAGAGCGTCCCAGGTTCGGTTCCCGCTAAAGGCACGTACTTCGGTTGCAGTTTGTCCCTGGCCTCAGTTGGGGTCATGTGGGTGGCGACCAGTCAATGTGTCTCTCTCACATTGATGTTTCTCTCTCTCTCTTCCCACCTCTCTCCCTCCCACTCTTTCTGAAGACGAATGCAAAAATGTCCTCTGGTGAGGATAAAAAAAAGAATGAACAAAATAGCCCAGCCAGTGTGGCTCAGTGGGTTGAGCACTGTCCCATGCACTGAGAGGTTCTGGTTCGATTCCCAGTCAGGGCACATGCCGGGTTGCAGGCTGGATCCCCAGTGAGGGGCGTGCAGGAGGCAGCAATCCATGTTTCTCTCTGACATCGATGTTTCTGTCTTTCTCTCTCTTCCTCTCTCTAAAAAAATCAATAGAAACAATTTTTTTTTTTTAAAGAATGAACAAAAACTCCAAGCATACAGAGTAAGGGCTTTGCTGCCTGGCCTTCGGCAATGGGGTGGGGACTGAAGGTTTGTAAACAGAATAGCGACATGAAGACCATAGTGGGCAGCTGTGTGCCTGGTCCTGCTGAGCTCCGGACATACACAGTCTCATTTCATCCACCTGTCAGTCATTCTGTAGATGAAGAGACTGAGGGTCAGAGGTTCACCTGCCCAAGGTCATCCACATGGGGAGTAGCAGGGCCGACTGCGCCCAGATCTCTAGCCTGGGCCCGAGCACATACCTACCACACTCTCAGGCTTGTGCGTTAGGCGGACCTGGCAGGAGGGCTGGGTGAAACCCACCTGCCCAGAACACAGACCCCTGACCCCGCCCCACCCCAGGGCACAGCCCAGCAGCTGCAGAGCCTGGGAGCAGAAAAGGAGGCAGCCCAGCGGGAGTGTGAGGCGTTGCTGTCAGCGCGGCCAGTGGGCCCTGCCGCCCTGCACCTGCCCGTGGCCCTCAACAACCTCAAGAACAAGTACAGTGATGTGCAGGTTCTCTGCAACCTCTACGGGGAGAAGTGAGTGCTCTGGGCACAGGGCGAGGGGACGCTGGCGGGGCAGGAGGGGTGTGACCAACGGGTGACTGACCCTCGGCCTCCCTGGCAGAGCCAAGGCTGCCCTGGGTCTGGAGCGGCAGATCCAGGAGGCGGACAGGGTCATCCAAGGCTTCGAGTCTGCGCTGGCACAGGAGGCCCCCATCCCTGCCGGCCCAGGCACCCTGCAGGAGAGGGCCAGCGAGCTGCAGGTGAGGGGCCCGGCAGCCTCCCGGCAGGAGGGGTCACGGCCTGAACAATCCTTTGGGTAGGTGGGGGAGACGTGGCACCTCGTGTAACCGTGAGGGTCCCTCGCTGTGTCCCTTCCCCCCCAGCACCTGCGGAGGGAGCTGCTGGGGCAACAGGCCTGTGTGCTGGGGCTGCACCGCGAGCTGAAGGCCGCCGAGCACGCGTGCAGCGCGCTGCAGAACAATTTCCACGAGTTCTGCCAAGACTTGCCACGCCAGCAGCGCCAGGTGCGGGCCCTCACTGACCGCTACCACGCCGTAGGGGACCAGCTAGACCTGCGGTGAGTGGCTGGGCCATCAGGGCTCGAGGCGTGCCCCACAATGCACAGCAGCTGCTGCTGACAAGCTGTGTGATCCTGGGCTGGTGACTTCACCTCTCTGAGGCTCAATTTCCTCACCTGGAAAATGGGATAATAGCAGCAGCTCCACCCCACCCCAGGGTGGTACCTGGCAGAGACTCCCGGGTTAATCTATGAATGCCCAGTTCTAGCACAGGGCCAGAGTTAGGGTATCAGCATGGTGGTCACTCAGGCCTCCTGACCTGTCCCCAGAGGGCAGCTCTCACCTCTGCTCTGGGCCTCATCCTCGCAGGGAGAAGACCTTGCAGGATGCCAACCTCACCTACCAGCAGTTTAAGAACTGCAGGGACAACCTGAGCTCCTGGCTGGAGCACCTGCCCCACAACCAGGTGCGGCCCAGCGACGGGCCCAGCCAGATTGCCTACAAGCTGCAGGCGCAAAAGGTGAGGGGCTGGGGCTGCAGCGGACCTGGGGGCAGGGCAGGCCTCTCCTACAGGGGCGCTGCCTGTGCGCCTGTGGCCCTCTAGTGGCCAGTGCCCTAAAAGACCTTGTAGCTTCGACCACAAAGGCCCCCACACCCAAAATGCTCCCCTTTGCCCCAGGAGACGGCCCGCCCATTGCTGTCTGGCCTCAAGTGAGCAGAGGCTCTGTGCTCCTGGTGGTGCAGCTCCTCCTGCACCCTCTCCCTCATGCTTGCCCTGCTCCGCACTGCAGTGAGCCCAGTGAGCTGGGGCTGGGCACAGCCTGGCTCTGGGGCAGCTCAGGCTGGTGGGAGGCCCATGTGTCACAGGTCACGAGGCTGATTAACTATGGGAGCCCACGGCAGGACACGTGTGGGGGTCAGGGCCAGCGGTCTGGAGGGAACCGACATCTGAGGCCTGAGGAATAGACAGGGAGGGGTGAAATGTCCCCAGCCAAGGCTGCGTGGGTCCAGAGGGAAAAGGCAGTTTCCCAGGGAACCCTTCCTGCCCCCGCCTGTGGCCCGGAGGCACCTGGCTGGAGGAGAGTCCTGTGAGTGGTGCTCCTGACCCCTCGACCCTCACCTGTTCCTGAGCAGAGGCTGCTGCGGGAGATCCAGGGCCGGGAGAGGGACAGGGCCGTGGCATCCCGCCTCTCCCAGGACCTGCAGGAGGCTCTCCAGGTGAGCAGTTTTACGCCAGTTGCTCCTCTTTACCCCCCCCACTCCCTCTCCCTGGTCCCCCCCCCCACGTCCCTCACTGACCACCAGCCTGTTGTCCTTTCCTCCCTGCTCAGGACTATGAGCTGCAGGCAGACACCTACTGCTGCTCCCTGGAGCCCACCCGGGCAGGGTCAGCCCCCAAGAGAACCCGAGTGGCTCCCCTGCAGGAGAGCATCCAGACCCAGGTGAGGCAGGACCCAGCAGGGCACCAGCTCTGAACTGAGCCTCAGAGGGGGAGCTGACCCGTCCTCCCCTGCCCTCCCTTTGGCCGCTGCAGGAGAAGCAGCTGACAGGCGCCTACACTGAGGCTGTAGCTGTGCACCAAGAGCAGCTGCACCAGCTGGAGTTCGCCAGAAAGATGCTGGAGAAGGTACGGGGAGGACGCCCGCCTCGTTCCTGCGCGAGGTGGCCTGGCCTAGTTGTTGACCCGACCGGTTCCCTTCCCCTCACCCGCTACCTGCAGTCCCAAGGTTCTGCCTCCCCAGGTCTCTCCCCAGCAGCTCTGAGGCTCCACCTCAGAGTAAGCTCCTGGAGATGTCACTCAGGGGCTCAGAGTTTAGCCTCTGGGCAGTCTCTTTGTGGGGACAGGAGAAAGCCCCCACAAAGTCTTCAGCCTTAGGACCCAGCAGTGGGTAAGAGGCCACCTTGGGCTCCTCTCCATGACTCTTGGTGACTGGCCGAGGGACTTACCAGCTTTTCCTACCCAGAGTACTCCTCCAGCATCCCCCAGAGGGGTGTGCCCACTTCTGGGAGCCCGGATGGAGGGAGAGACGAGGGGTTGGAAGGAACACCTGCCCTGTTTGCATGTTCAGTGTGCACCTGGCCTGCACCCTGCCTTGCACCCTAACGTGGGATCAATGGCTTCTCAGAATCCTGCAGCCAAGCATCTCAGGGCTTCAGCTCTACCTCCCGGAGGCCCCGGGAAGGATGTCTCAGGAAGTAGGGCGGGGTCTCTGATCCCTCCACAGTACTTCCCCTTCTTCCTCTCTCTCTGCAGAAGGAGCTCAGTGAGGACACCCAGGTGGCCCATGGTGCACAGCAGGGGTCTGAGAGCCCAGCCCGCGCAGGAAGGGAATCTGAGGCCCTCAAGTCCCAGCTGGAGGAGGAGAGGAAACGGGTGGCCCAGGTGCAGCGTGAGCTGGAGGAGCAGAGGGACCGACTGCTGCAGCTGAGGACCCAGCGGCCCTTGGAGAGGCTGGAGGAGAAGGAAGTGGTGGAGTTTTACCGGGACCCCCAGCTGGAGAGCAAGCTGTCCAGGGTGAAGTCCCAGGTGAAGGACGAGGGCATCAAGCGGGCTGGCCTGCAGGCGGACCTGGAGGTGGCGGCCCAGAAGGTCGTGCAGCTGGAAAGCAAGAGGAAGGCCAAGCAGCCGCACCTGCTGACCAAGGAGGTCACCCAGATAGAGAAGGACCCCGGTCTGGACAGCCAGGCAGCCCAGCTCAGCAGGGAGATCCAGCACCTCCGGAAGGAGAACACTGCCGTCTCAGCCCGGCTGGAGCAGCTGAAGAAGGAGCTGCTGGCCCTTGAGCAGAAGGAGGCGAACGTGAAGGAGAAGGTTGTGGTGAAAGAAGTGGTCAAGGTGGAGAAGGACCTGGAAATGGTCAAGGCAGCCCGGGCCCTGAGGCAGCAGGTGCAGGAGGACGCTGCGCAGAGGAAGAGGGCGGAGGGGGCCGTGGCCAAGCTGCAGGCTCGCATCGCGGACCTGGAGCAGGCAATCAGCACCGTGCAGCCCAAGGTGATCGTGAAGGAGGCGAAGAAGGTGGAGCAGGACCCCGGTGCTGTCAAGGAGGCGTCCAGGCTGCGGAGCCTCCTCGAGGGGGAGAAGAGTAAGAACGCCGTGCTGGCCAAGGAGCTGAAGGAGCTGCAGGGCAAGTACAGCGCGGCGGAGAAGCAGAAGCCCAAAGTGGAGCTCCAGGAGCACGTCCGCGAGATCTTCCAGGTGGATCCAGAGACGGAGCGGGAGATCGCGCGGCTCAGGGCCGAGCTGCAGGCGACAGCCAGCAAGAGGAGCGGTGTGGAGAAGGAGGTGGAGAGGCTGCTGCCCGACCTGGCCGTCCTGCGGGCCCAGAAGCCCCTGGTGGAGTACAAGGAGGTGATGCAGGAGGTGGTCAGACACGAGAGGAGCCCCGAGGTGCTGCGGGAAATCGACCGCCTGAAGGCTCAGCTCAACGAGCTGGTCAACACCAGCGGCCGTGCCCAGGAGCAGCGCATCCGACTGCAAGGAGAGCGCGACGAGTGGAAGCGGGAGCGGTCCAAGGTGGAGACCAAGACGGTGAGCAAGGAGGTGGTGCGGCACCAGAAGGACCCGGTCCTGGAGAAGGAGGCCGAGCGGCTCCGCCAGGAGGTACGGGAGGCGGTGCAGAAGCGGCGGGCCACCGAGGACGTGGTCTACGAGCTGCAGAACAAGTACCTGCTGCTGGAGAGGAGGCGGCCTGAGGAGAAAGTGGTGATGCAGGAGGTGGTGGTCACCCAGAAGGACCCAAAGCTCCACGAGGACCACAGCCGGCTGAGCCGGAGCCTGGATGAGGAGGTGGGCCGGCGGCGGCAGCTGGAGCGGGAGGTGCAGCAGCTGCTGGCCGGTGTGGAGGAGAAGGAGGGCCTGCTCAGCTTCCAGGAGGACCGTGACAAGAAGCTGGCCGTGGAGAAGGAGCTGCGCCAGCTGACCTTGCGGATCCAGGAGCTCGAGAAGCGGCCTCCTGCGGTGCAGGAGAAGATCATCATGGAGGAGGTGGTCAAGCTGGAGAAGGACCCGGATCTGGAGAAGTCCACTGAAGCCCTGCAGCAGGACCTGGACCAGGAGAAGACCCAGGTGACAGAGCTGCATCGGGAGTGCAAGAACCTGCAGGTCCAGATTGATGTCCTCCAGAAAACCAAATCTCAAGAGAAGACCATCTACAAGGAAGTGATCAGGGTGGAGAAGGACCGGGTGCTGGAGGGTGAGCGGTCCCGGGTGTGGGAGATGCTCAACAGGGAGCGCGCGGGCCGGAAGGGCCGGGAGGAGGAGGTGCAGCGCCTCCGGGAACGGATCGACAGGGCAGAAGCACTGAGCAGGACCTGGGCCCGGGAGGAGGCCGAGCTGCAGAAGGCTCGGAACCAGGGGAGCCAGGAGTGCAGGCAGCTGCAGCAGGAGCTAAGGGAGCTGGAGCGGCAGAAGCAGCAGAAGGTGCTGCAGCTGCAGGAGGAGTCGAAGCTGCTCAGCCAGAAGACAGAGAGCGAGCGGCAGAGGGCTGCCCACCAGGGCCAGGAGCTCTCGCAGCTCAAGGCGGCCATCCTCCAGGAGAAGGACCAGATCTACGAGAAGGACAGGACCCTCCGGGACCTCCACAGCAAGGTGAGCCGGGAGGAGCTCAACCAGGAGACCCAGAAGCGAGAGACCAACCTTTCCACCAAGATCTCCATCTTGGAACCTGAGACCGGGGACGACATGTCCCCGTATGAGGCCTACAAGAGGGGCATCATCGATCGAGGCCAGTACCTCCAACTGCAGGAGCTCGAGTGTGACTGGGAAGAGGTCACCACCTCAGGCCCCTGTGGGGAGGAGTCGGTGCTCCTGGATCGGAAGAGTGGGAAGCAGTACTCCATCGAGGCCGCCCTGCACTGCCGGCGCATCTCCAAGGAGGAGTACCACCTCTACAAGGACGGCCGCCTCCCCATCTCCGAGTTCGCCCTGCTTGTGGCAGGGGAGACCAAGCCCTGCTCCTCACTCTCCATCGGCTCCATCATCTCCAAGTCCCCAGTCACCTCCCCAGCCCACCAGAGTGCCAGTGTCTTCTCTCCTGGCTTCTCTCTCGGGCTGGGCGATGACAGCTTCCCCATTGCCGGCATCTACGACACCACCACAGACAACAAGTGCACCATCAAGACGGCCATGGCCAAGAACATGCTGGACCCCATCACTGGGCAGAAGCTGCTGGAGGCCCAGGCGGCCACAGGGGGCATCGTGGACCTCCTCACTCGGGAGCGCTACTCCGTGCACAAGGCCCTGGAGAGGGGGCTGATTGAGAACACCTCCACTCAGAGGCTGCTCAACGCCCAGAAGGCCTTCACCGGCATCGAGGACCCTGTCACCAAGAAGAGGCTGTCAGTGGGCGAGGCCATCCAGAAGGGCTGGATGCCCCGAGAGAGTGTGTTCCCCCACCTGCTGGTGCAGCACTTGACCGGGGGGCTCATCGACCCCAAGAGGACAGGCCGCATCCCCGTCCCGCAGGCCGTGCTCTCTGGAGTGATCAGTGAGGAGCTGGCCCAGCTCCTGCAGGACGAGTCCAGCTACGAGAAGGATCTGACAGACCCCGTCTCCAAGGAGCGGCTGAGCTACAAGGAGGCCATGGGGCGCTGCCGGAAAGACCCCCTGAGCGGCCTGCTGCTCCTCCCGGCTGTGCTGGAGGGGTACCGCTGCTTCCGCTCGGCCTCCCCCACCGTACAGCATGTGCTGCGCTGAGGGGCAAAGTCATGGGAGGGCACGAGAGGGGGAGGGTAAGATGCATGTACCCCTCAGCCCAGAGCAACCTGATTGGGGGGTGGGTCTTCCCTCTGTCTGATCCCTGTTCTGTTACTCAGCATTCACGGTGTTGGGCTCCCGCCCCTAACTTCGGTGCCCAGCCCATCCCCAGACCCAGAGGTTTGCAGATCTGTCCCTCCACACCCAGTACTTCAATAAAAGAATTCTCCCAGCCTCTGTTCACATCTGGGCGTGCAGAGTGGACTGGTCGGGCGTGACCACGGGGACAGCACTGCTCGAGCCCCGCCCGGAGGGGAGTGACTGTGCCCACTGGTCCTCGTAGGAAACAAGTGACCCCGGGAGGGTATGCTGCAGGCCACAGAAGGAGGTCGTGGACAGGTGAGTCCCTTGTGTGCCCCCGCAGAGAAACATGGGAACACTCGGGGTGCATCACTTTTATTTCCTGTTCTTAAATTCAGAGGCAAACACATGTAAGCGTATCCTAGGTGACAACTACTTCGAACAGCCACACACACAGGGGACCCTGAAAATGTCCCCCCTCTCCCTCACCCTGCTTCCTGTTAAACTTGGGACTCTTCACTGGAACGCAACTCTTCCCTAAAACATTTTAAATCCAAAAAGGCCAGCAGGGGGCACCTTTTCCCGCAGGGTCTGGCTCAGCCCTGAGGGCTGGGCACCGGAGGTGGAGGGAGGTGGAGGACAGCACGGCCCTCAGCAGCAGCAGCCCCGGCAGCTTCCTGTTCCCCAGCAGACCCAGGGTCTAACACAGCCCTTCTGTGCCCCCATCTTGAAATGGCACCGTCGAACCCAACAAACAACACAGGAACTTGCTAACTTGTTGGCAGGACGAACCCAAACTCAGCCCTGTGATGGCTGATGCCAAGTTCCTGAGAGCTTTGCTCTGTCCCCGGACACGTTTTCTTTCTTGGGAAGCCAGTAAGGAGGCAGCTGGGGCCGCAGCTGGAGAGAGACTTGGAGGCCATGGTGGCCTCACACGTTCTCAGCGGCAAAAATGCTCCAGCACACACTGATGGGGGGACGGGGAGGTCCGGGTGGACAAGAAGTACGGGTGGGCAAGGGCGCCCTTGGCTGAGATCCGCTGGCCGGGGTCGTACTGCAGGAGTTGCTGTGGAGGAAGGAGGAGGAGGAAACAGATTGGGCGGGGTGTGTCCAGGGTGGGGAGAAGAATTACCCTCCCAGGTAAATCCCCGCTGGAGGGCCCCAAGCCCCAAAGTGCTCCCTTCAGACCCAGAACTGCACACAGCCACTACCTCCAGCTCACAGGCCAGTTCGGGACACTCCTGGAATATGAAGACCGAGAACGAGTTCTGGTCCAGCCCTGCTGAGTCAGTCTCCCTTCCTTCCTGAGGTTTCCAGGCCCCAGCCTACTTCTAGTTGAGACGGACCTCTCTCTGTATCAGGAAGTACAGGGCAGGCATGCCCAGTGCCTAGTCCCAGCCCGGCTGTGGAAGGGCCCTGGCTCCCAGCATAGGAGGAGGGGCTGGGAATCAGGCCTCCTGCTGCACTGGGACGGTAAACACACGGACCTCTGAAAACCGGACATGGAGCCTGACTATGAGAACACTGCCCGGCCTTCCCCTGACCCAACACCAGGTTAGAGGGAGAAATGTGCTGCCAGGCCTTCGTGGGCAAGAGCGAGTGGCCTTCGAGACAGTCTGGCCGGGCCAGCCCAAGAGGTCAAGATGGCGCAACAGAAAAGGCAAGTGAGGACTGTGGCAGGGGCCCAGGCAGCAGGGAACAGCCTGGGGGGCGGGGAGTAACCACCGGAAGGAGGGGGAATACTGACACAGAAGGAGGCGTGGTCCCTGCTTGGAAAAGCCCCCAGTTTAGACAGGGTAATAACGACCACAGGGAAATGACCACAAACACAAGGCAGCTTAGGAAAAAAGGGCAAGAATTACAGCATAAACAGCGAACTAGAAGAGAGATGTTGTAACAGGCACGGTGGACATTAGACTTACACGGGAGAGGCCTCCAGCTGGGACAATCAATACGCATGGGACAGAGACAAGCCAGTTGTGCACAGGGGTCAGAAAACAGACCAGCGTGGACTCCGAAGGAGCCAGGATCGCATACGACACAGGCTAACAAAGGGGACACTTCTGGTTGGAGCAGTAGCTGGAGCTAGACGGCCTTTCTTGCCCGCCTGGCCGCCTGCCTGTACCTACCATGAGCAGGTCCTTGCCCTCCGGCTCCAGATTGGGCACAACATCCTCCAGCCCCTTCCTGGTCCACTTGGGGAAGCTGCCCTTATAATCAGGCAGCTGGGTGACTCCTGGCCACGTGGCTTCACAGGGTGTCCCCAGGGTCCGAAAGATTCGAAAGAGCTGGTCAATCTCAGAGTCACCAGGAAACAGAGCCTTGCAGGTCACCTGGAAGGGGGAAAAGGAGAAGGTGTGGCGTCCACTCCCTTATCATTCAGAATCCAATACTAGTTACGAGACCAGACCAGGGAGGCATCTTCAAGATTCCTCCCAGGGCTGTGCTAAGAATCCTGGCCTTTTTGGAACAAGGCCCAAAGCCTCAATCCTTTAGCCAGTCCCTTAATACACCTCTAGCAGGTGACTCGGAGTCTCCCCACCCCACTTCAGTAGGACCCTGCCTGTGGCCTCCCTGTGGCCATGTCTGTCCCCCTCTCTACCATCTCTGCAAAGATGCAACCAGTGCTCCAGATGTCTACAGCTGTCGAATAGAACTTGCTGCCCAAGAGAATCTCAGGGGCACGATACCAGAGTGTCACCACCTGTGCGGACAAGAAAACAGCGTCATTCGGGTAGCTGAGGGCACAGGCGACTTCCCTCCAGCTGCCCTGCTCGCCCCTTGTCCCGTGGTGCCTCGTGGGTGTAGGTGCGCAGAGGCACTCCAAAGGCTCGAGCCAGTCCAAAGTCAGCCAGCTTGATGGCACCCAACTCATTGATGAGCAGATTCTGGGGCTTCAGGTCTCGGTGGATGACCCGGTGCGAGTGGCAGAAATTCACCCCCTGCAGCAGCTGGAAGAGGTAACTCTGGAACAGTGAGTGGGAGAGGGGCCGGCTGAGCCGAAGTGGGGCTGGCCAGCAGGAGTCAGCCGGTCTTCCCCCTCCGTCCTTCGCTCAGTACCTTGACCAAGTGCAGAGGGAGCTCAGAGACTGGGGTGGAGTCCATGAACTTCTTCAGATCCTGGCTGAGGAACTCAAACACCAGGTACAGCTTCTTCTCGCTGTGCACCACGTCCAGCAGCCTGGGCAGGGACACCAGTCAGGACGCGGCTCCAGAACTGGGTCAGGCCCAGCTTCACCGCCTCCTCCCCCACCTCACCTGACAATGTTGGGGTGCTTAAGCTCTTTGAGCAGGGAGATCTCCCTGATGGCGGTGCTGGGGACCCCCTCGGTCTCCCTGCAGGAAAGGAGGGTACAGCAGTGGGGGCAGAGAGCCAGGAGGGTGCTCCGCCCTGCGGGCAGTCACCCGCGTTCCTTATCTATACGGATGGCCCATCCCTCAGCCCGGCCGCTGTGCCCCTAGGACACGCTGTTACCACGAGGCCTGGGGCAGAGCCCGGCTGGGGGAGGACACGCGAGGGCTGCACCTCTGTGATCACCCAGTGTAACTGGACTGAATGTAAAACCCTGAGATGAGAGGGACGGGGCGGCGGGGTCTCAGCGCCGCCCCAGCACTCACAAATCCAGCCTGATCTTCTTGAGGGCCACGAGCTGCCCCGTCTCCTTGTTCTTGGCCTTATACACCACCCCGTAGGTGCCCTCTCCGATCTTCTCCACCTTCTGGAACACATCCATGTCCGCAGAGCTGCGGGAAGACGGCCCAGGCTTCGCCCAGCGCCCGCGCGGCCCGCCCCGCCCCCACCCCGGGAGCTGGTCCCGCGAGGCCTCCTGCCCGGCTCGGGGCTCCGGGGCGCAGGAGGCCCCGCACTCCTCGTGCCTCCCCCCAGCCAGGCCGGCTCTGGGGGCTGCCCGGGGAGCGGAGGGCAGCAAGGCCAGCTCCGGGCAGGAGCCAGGGGTCAGGGAGGGGTCCTCAAGCCACAGCCCTGCCTTCGGCCGCACAGCCTGCCTGCGCGAGGGCCGAGGACCAGCCAGTCTGGGGGCGCTCGGCCTCCTCTGAGGGCAGAACCTCGGCGGGGCGGGCCCCCCTGAGTCCCGGGCCCCACCTGGGCCCTCGGGTCCCCAGCCCTCTCCCCTCTGGCCCCCGGCCCAGAAATCACCAGAACCTGCGCGGCTGCGGCCTCCCCAGCGCCGGCTGCCCGCCCCACGGCGCCCCCTCCGGCCGCCGCCGGCGCTGCGCCACGTGCGCACTCGCCTGGTCCTGCCGCGAGGCCTTTCCCCCCACAAGGGCCTGGCTCGAAGCACCCGGCCCGAGCGCCCCCTCCCGGCCGCCGCCGGCGCTGCGCCACGTGCGCACTCGCATGGTCCTGCAGAGGGGCCTTTCCCCCCACAAGGGCCTGGCTCGAAGCACCCGGCCCGAGCGCCCCCTCCCGGCCGCCGCCGGCGCTGCGCCACGTGCGCACTCGCATGGTCCTGCAGAGGGGCCTTTATTCACCGAGGCCCACAGCCTCGGGGGCCCCCACAGCTTGGCTTCCAGTGGTCTCCTGGGGGAGGGCGTGGCAGGCTTTGGTGCCCACTCTCCAGACCGCAGGCCGATGCTCTAACCGCTGAGCCAAACCAGCCAGGGCATTGGTGCCCACTCTCTAGGGCAGCGGCTCTCAACCTGTGGCTTGTGACCTCTTTGGGATCGAATGGCCCTTTCACAGGGGTCGCCTAAGACCATTGGAAAACACATTTCCAATGACGATTCATAACAGTAGCAAAATTACAGTTATGAAGTAACAACAAAAATAATTTTATGGTTGGGGGGTCACCACAACATGCGGAACTGTATTAAAGGGTCGCGGCATTAGGAAGGTTGAAAACCAGTGCTCTAGGGTGTCATTTCTGGGGCAATCCCAAATTAACAAGCCCTCCCCTCTTCTCTCCGGCTCCAGAAAAGGCCATCACTCAGGGGAAGTTCCTGCTGCTTCTCTGTAGCAGCTCCGGCATCTCCAGTGGGCTTGACTCAGGAGCAGGTTGCCGGGAGGGAGGGTCCCCGGGAGCTGCCTTTTCCTACTGGGTGCTGCCCCTCTCCCGCTGGTACTTCCTCTGCTCCCCGATGGCTTGTTCTAACAGGGGAAGGTTCAGTCCTTCCACACAAGTCAGCACTCGGGCCTTCACCACGGAATCGCCATCTGAAATACACAAACACCGAGGCACTAGCGGGGCTGGCGCATTCCAGCTCTTTCCCCTCCGCCTGTCTCAGTCCCGAGGTTTGCCCGGGGTGTTTTCTCCTTGGGCCCCCGCCATGCACGGCAGGCGCCTGTCTGGAACTTAGGGGGTAGCCCTAAAACCCCGCTTCTCTGGGGAAGCTGGCCGAGAGACGTTCCCTCTGCTTCCCTCCCTTGTCATTTTAATTCCTGCCTTCACTGTAGGTTCCAAATGCCTAGGTTTGAGGAGTGGTCTCAATCACCATCTCAGTTTCCCATTTGTACCAAAAGAAGGCATCCTGGGACCGTCTGGCATTGGAAATCAGGACAAAGAGAACCCCGTATTTAATAAATGCAAGGGGAGAGTTTGGCCTTATAGGGGTGGACCAGGGACAGAGGGGGCTCCTAGCAGATGCTGTGGTGACCTACTGAGAAGGATTGTCACCAGGCAGGTGTGGCTCCGTGGACTGAGCATGGTTCCACGGACTGAGAAGTCTGGCTTCGATTCCCAGTCAGGGAATCACATGCCCAGGTTGCGGGCTGGATCCCCAGTAGGGGCTGGATGCAGCAAATCAGTGTTTCTCTCTCACATTGATGTTTCTATATCTCTCTCCCTTCCTCTCTCAATAATCAATACAAACATTTAAAAAGAAGAAGAAGAAAAGAAAAGGTTTGTCAATGTTTAAGTGACAGCAAACACGAAAAAGACATCTGGGGTTTGCCCTAATTGTTTTTTCTTTTATTTTTTTCACTCATGTTCTTTCCGCTCTCTGAGCAAATCAATGAATACACTCAATGTTCTAGGACACGGTGTCTGTCTTCTTTTGATGTAGTTGAGAGAGAGAGAGAGAGGCTCTCTGGTTAAAGCCTATGCCTTGCTCTCGGTCTAGTCTAGGCCACTTTATTGACAGCACGGCCTGGGGGCAGAGTTCAGAGTGGTATATCTTACAGATTCCACCTACACGATATTATCTGATATTATCTGTTGGCCCCGTGCAGGGTTGCAGAGGCTGCAGGGCCTAGGGCGGAGTAGGCTGTAACAATACCTGGATCCATTCATCAGTGTAGACTGTTGATTCTTATCCGCCTCCAGAACCAGCTGGGCTAGCTAGACTGATCAAACAAACAAGGTATTTGCCTACACTTCTCATGGGCTGAGAGGCCACTGACAGACCTTTTCTTGTGACACATGTAGCTCGAAACTTTTCACAGAGTAGCTGAATGTGTTCAGGGGGATGCAGGGAGAGCAAGGACAAAAACAGAGAGTCTATCTCACAGTTAAAAATCCCCAAACAGGGCCCTGGCCGAGGAGCTCAGTTGGTTAGATCATTGCCCCGATAGGCCAAGGTTTCGGGTTCAATCCCGGGTCAGGGCACATACAAGAATCAACCAATGAACACATAAGTAAGTGGAACAACACATTGATGTTTCTCTCTCCTCCTTCCTCTCTCTCTTTCAAATCAATCAATAAACTTTTTTTAAAATCTCAAAATAGGACCCTACTTCAAATGCTTCCAAACTGCCTGTATGAAGGTTTTCTCAGTTATCCACTTTGTTTCTCCACTTTCCTTACGTGAACGTCTGTCAGCTCTCTCCTTCCCTCCCCCTGGGGAAGCCCTCCCCCTCGATTTGTAGAGTGGAACAAGCCGTTTCTCCCTGGGAATGAAAATACACAGCTAGGAGATATGGAGAGAGCTTCAAAAATACGAGTATCACAAGGGACAAACCTGTTAGTCCATCTGCGAAAGGCTAACGGCATGAAGAGAGCAGGGTTTGAAGAAGAGTTGCAGGGACGGCAGAGAGGGGTTACGAACAAGACAGCTAGAGAAACAGCCCTTTAGGGGAATCTCTTCTTGCAAAGACAAAGACCCTAGAGCAGAAAGGAGGGACAGGGGGCAGGAGCAATGGCCATGCACGGGGTGCAGTTGTGAGCAGGAGACACGGGAGGGGTGAAATGGAGGACAGACCTTCATTAGGAAGTGTGTGAAGGGAAAGAGGGTCACAGGCATGTCGAGCGGAAGATGACATTATTAATGTTACTGAGGAGGGAAAGTTAGAACAGGGAGCAAAGGCCTCAAGTTCTACCCTCCCCTCCTCCGTCTTGGCTGGAATATCACAGCCTCGACCTCCACTGACCACCTGTTCCCCTCTCTTGTATTTCCTGTCATTGAGAGGACCCCCCCAAATAGATGTCTGGAGGGGAGGGACAAGGATAAGAGCCACAGGCAGTCAGCCACCCCACCAGCATCAGCAGCAGAGGGCCACCCGATCCCCCACCCCTGCCCGTGCTGAATAAAAACCTTTCCCCCAGACCCCACAGGCATGTCTGGTTCTCCGAGGTCCCAGCTCTCACTTCCCAAGTGGGTACTACTGATAAATCTTTGTCATGCCCTTGAATTCCTTCCTGGGCCGTGACAAGGACCCGGGGCGGGCTGAGGCCTCCCTGGGCCTCCCCTGTGCTGCCCAGCGTCAATGACTATCACTGCCATTGCTTCCAGACGGAAGAAGCTCGAGTGCTTTAAATACTGACAGGGAAGAACCTGTGGCCACAGGTGCAGGGTTCGGCTGGGAGCACCGTCCCGCGCAGGGCTGCGCCTCGGCAGGAGGGACCCCTCCGTCCGACTGGAGGAAGGAGCTACGGTGGTTTTAGGAGGATGGACTGCTGCTGCGCCCCCACCTCACCTGGGACGTAGGTGGTGAGGCAATGTGCCCAAAGGGACAGGGGAGGCGATGAGGTGAGGGTGTCGTGCAACAGGGCACCGCCTGAAAGAGCTGTGTGCAACGTGGGAGGACTCCTAGGCAGCTCGGGGAACCCCCGTGAGAGAAGAGACCTTGAAAGCATCTTGCCAGGAATCGGGGAGCTTTGTGACCTTTCTCCGCCTACAGCGGGTGGGGCCCGGAGGGTGGGGGTGGGGTAGGAGTGAGAGGAGCCAGGGGCTGAAACTTGGCCAGGAAAGTGCTTGAAATGGTGAAATGGTAGCAAGGTCCAGCAGGGGGGCAGGGAGGCAAACCGGAGAGAAGATGGACCAACAGACGAGTCCCAAGTCCGCAGGACAGAGGGGGGAGGAGGGCAGAGGGACACAGAGGCGGGGCTGGCGCTGTTTCAGGGTAGCAGGGGTGGGGCCACTCTGGGAGGGGCCGTGGGTGTCCTGGGACAGATCGCAGGGTGGCAGAACCGGTGCCGGAGGAGCCAGCAGGACTCGCCCCACCTCCTCAGTGTGTGCTTGGGACACTGACCAGGCCTGCGTGGGGGAGGGAGGGGGGGGAACTGCGGCCTGGGCACAAGCCAGGTTTCAGGCAGGCCCGGATGAGGAGAGAGCACGAAGAGGAGTAGCAAGGGTCCCAGAGGACACAGCAGGAGGACCGTGGAGGGCGCAGTGGTCAGCTGGAACGAACCAGGAGGGTGGCATTTACTGGGGTCACAGTGACAGGTCCGGGCGGCGCTGTGCTGTGGACAGTCGCCTTCCGCCTGGGATTCCGACCTTGCAGCAGAGTGGGGAGAGGCTGCACCCCAATACCTTCGTTCCCAGACAGGAAGCCCAAGGGCCTTGGGGTGGTGCCCAAAGAAGGAAACGCAGCCAGCAAGTTTCCACACAGAGCTGGCTTCTCCTCGCCTTTCTAGCTCCTCAGCAAGCTCTCTGTAAACATTTCAGGCAGGTGACTTCAGGCAGCCTCTTCTGTGTCCTCAGAGCCGCGCACCTGGTCAGGAGCATGTGGGTTGACCTTCGTGTCCCCACAGGACTTCGGACCTGACCGAAGGGCCCCTCCGCCCAGGCTGGGGGTGGTGCGGCCACTCCATGCTCGGCCGTTCTGCTCCTCCCTCCTCCCTCCTCCCTGTCAGATTTCTTTCCTTGCGTCAGTTGCAAATGATGAGCATGTGTGACTTTTAGAAACTTGGGGAACATTTCTTAAGAAAGGAGAAAAGCGCCCTTCTGGGGGTGACGACCCCCCACGACAACATGCCTCTTGCTAAGGATCGCCTTCATCCCTCCTTCAGGGATGTAAAGTGCCCGGGGGCTGTAAGATGACCACCGTCTTCAGCCCTGCACACAAGGTAGTTCTGTGTGTTGCTTGTTCCACTGTTCTGTCAGCCAACAGGAGGACAAGCGGAGCTTACAGAAGGGTGCTCCCTCAGAAGGAAGCAGCCCGAAACACACCTCGAGTCAAGACGAGGGGGGAACCATCCCAATAAACACATTTTGGATACAAAACAAAAAAGAAAGGAGAAAAGCCCTGGCCAAACCGGCTCGGCGGTTAGAGCGTCAGCCCACGGACCAAGGAGTCGCGGGTTCGATCCCGGTCAAAGGCACGTACCTCAGTTGTGATTTGTCCCCAGCCCTGGTTGGGGTCATGGGGGAGGCAGCCACTTGATGTGGCCCTTTCATGTCGAAGTTTCTTTCTCTCTCTCTCTGTCTCTCTGTTCCTTTCTCTGCCTCCCACTCTATCTGAACAAAAGTGTCCTCAGGTGAGGAGAAAAAAAGAAGTCCTGGCCCTGGCCGGTTTGGCTCAGCGGTTAGAGCGTCGGCCTGCGGTCCGGAGAGACCCGGGTTCGGTTCCCGCTAAGGGCACGTACCTTGGTTGCAGTTTGTCCCCAGCCCTGGTTGGGTCATGTGGGTGGCAACCACTCGATGTGTCGCTTTCACATCGATGTTTCTCTCTCTCTCTCTCCCTCTCACTCTATCTGAACAAAATATCGAAAAAAAAATGTCCTCGGGTGAGGAAAAAAAAAAAAAGAAGTCCTGGCCAGGTAGCTCAGTTGATTAGAGTGTCGTCCATCCGGATACTCTAAGGCTGCCGGTTCGATCCCTGGTCAGAGCACACACAAGAATCAACTAGTAAATGCATACATAAATAGAACAAATCAGTGTGTGTGTGTGTGTGTGTGTGTGTGTGTCTTGCCTTAACAAAACAAAAAAAGTTTGTTATTTTTTTAAAGAAAAATACAGAGGGAGGTCCAGTCAAGACGGCGGGTAGGTAAGCGCAGT